GAGTCACGTTCACCCCCATCAACCAAGGGATCGCCGTCGTTTCGACCGTCACCGACCAATTTGCAGAACATCTCTTGCGTCTGCTCTCGACGCAACGACCTTGAGATCATTCACAATCCACGAACAATCCATCGACGTTCACGCACATTTTTGTCCCTCCTTGTGTGTTCGAGAGTAGAATTGCCACCGATTCGCCCGCCACCCGCCCCCCCATCACCGCCGATCATTGACTCGTTTCACTCGTATCATCCTGAAGCCACCACCACACCACTGAAACAGACATTAAGACCGACGAAAAAGGGATCGATCATGCGATTAATCATCTCGTCATTCTCACGCCTCCATCACGCTTTACTCATCACCGATCTCTCGATAAATAGAAAATACCGATTCTCGCGCGTTCGCGTTCATCTTGTCACCTCGACTTTATCTCGCTCGAGAGAGGAGGATTTCGAAGAGGATTTCGATCGTTTTTTCTTTTTTTTCTTTTTTTTTTTTTTCTTTTTTTTTAGAGCGGCGAGTTTTTTGGAGGATCGTCAGGGGTTTGAACAGAGGGGAGGGGGGGATTTATTTAACCTCGCGCCACGAAATAGTCATCGCATCTCTCATCACACGTTCATCGTCGTTCGCCATTCTCTCGTCGCGTAGAGTTCGAAATGTAGCTATTTAGGCATGATGCATGCGTGTATAAGGAGTGTATAAGGTGAAGTAGACGACTTGTTTGCCACTCAGTAGCATCACCGCCACCGTTTAGGTACGTCTCTTTTCCAAAGATGCAAGCTTTTCTTTTCTTTCACGTTCAACTTGAAAAGCCATGATCGAGACTTCTCTAACTCTCTGCTACTTTATTTTTTTTTTTTTTTTCTTTCATATCTATAAATTTTCTCACACAATTTCACTGATCGAACGATGACGACGAAAACGAAACGCTTGCGTATCAATATCATCAATGCCCGTAGTAAAGTCGAAGTAAAATATCTCACAGCTAGTTCTCATCGCTCTAACTAACTCTAAGGTAGTAATCGTTGTTCAATCACCTCGACTCATCGGGATTCCTTGATTATTGGAAGGAAGAAACGATAGTATCGAGTTTCTAAGATCGAAATGCGATTTGAAAATGCGAAAACTCGAATCGAAGGAATCCCGGGAGGGGAGGAAAAATTGGCCGGCGAATCGACGCCTCGCGCCATTCTCAATCCGCCTCTCAATTCACGTTCGAACTTGAATCGACTCGAGATAAAAAAATTACCTCGCAGAGATAATATTCGAATCGCGTGGATCACTTTTCGGATCGCATTTGTTCGTGTTTGTCCGTGTGTCCGATCACCGCTTGACACCTGTCCACCTATCACGCGACTCGTTCGCCGATCAATCCTTTGACAACTTTGATTTAGAAGAAAAAAAACATGAGAAAAGAAAAAAAGAAAACGCATGCGAGTAAATCGATGCGATCCTTTGTACCCTGATGCATGCTGCATGCACGCAGGCAACGTATATGTATATAAATATAAATATAAATATATATATATATATATATACATATATCTTCGACGCATCTCTCGCCATCTAGCCAGTCGTCTCGTTGATCGATTTGCGATCAGGTAAAAGAACGCCATCATCCTTCATAGATCGCCATCATCATCCCATCCACGACACGTGGAGGTGAAAGCGTCAAAGAGATCGTTCGGTTTATCTCTCGATCCTGCATCTCTTCCGCTCCTTTTCAGAGATTTTTCATTTTTCGCGTGTGAAAATATTTCACGATTTTCGTTTAATTAGAAAGAGAATGTATATAATATCGTGGTAATTGAATCAAGCGAATGCTATGAATGGATCGAGATGCCGGATCGTTTAGAAATATCATTGAGAAAATATTATAGAGAAGGATCAAAGAGATAATTTCGTTTGGAAAATATATTCATTGCGGATAAACCGGACAAGACGCTCTTCGCCATATTTATCATAGTCATAAGGGTAAAGAAAATAAAAAAAAAAAAAAAAAAAAGAAAGAAAGAAACATTAGCAATTAAGGTAGAGCTAAGTTAGCCATAAGTCAAGCAATGGATGGCGGTTCCCCAATTCCGCTGAACTCGTTCGACTCGCTTCCCCCCCCACCCCACCTTTCGGTTCACGATCGAAGTAACGACCGCCGATAAATCGTCCCGCGATCGTTAATAACGTTGCAAGCGTTTAACGATGGCCGACGATATAAATTCCTGGCCGTGGCCGGAATGAGAATGAATCCTAGTAGAATCGGGCGGATACTGGAATCCGATCACGTACCGTCGTGATGAGAGAGAAAAGTTTTTCTCCTTTCTTTGGTCGAGTGAACCCAATCCGAGAGAGAAAAGAAAAGAAGAAGAAGAAGAAGAAAAAATTGAGAATGACGATCGAAACCCTTTCGAAACGAATTGAAAACATCTCTTTCGAATCTCCCTTGAAAATGACAAAAGTATCGAGTTGAACAAACTTTAAGTTTTTCTTTCGATCGAAGATTTCGATCGTATCGTGGATACGTAAGAGTGGATGATAAAGATTTGATCAATTACGTAGCGAAAGGGTTGGGGAGGATGAGTGGAAGGGGAAGGCGGAGTTGGGAGGCCTTCGTGGTGAGCGAAGCATTATTAAATGTGGTGCCCCAATATTCTAGCTTTCTGAGGAGGTAAGGATATTCTTCACCCGACAAAGAAGCACTTCCAAGCCATCACCTATCCTTCGTTTCCATCTACGTGATTACCGTATTATGTAACGGAGTGTTTCGATGTTCCGTAGTAACACTTTCTCTTACACGCATACACTCTATCTCTCTCTCTCTCTCTCTCTCTCTTTCTCTCTCTCTCTCTCTCTCTCTCTCTCTCTCTCTCTCTCTCTCAAATATCTTCTCCGTTCTCTCTATCTGTGGCGTGGGATGGCCAGTAAAGTTTTCGATGAAACTTTTTACAGCCTTTTTAATGTAGAGTAACAGGCAAATCCCGTCCCGTGAAATTATTTACTTACCCTGATAATCGCGTGATAACAACCACGTCTCCAAGATATCCGTTTTCGCGACTTGGAAATTAGTTTCTTAACCGACCTTTCCGAATTGGCCGAAGAAAAAAATTCCTCCCTCTCCCGTCCGTTTTCTTCGTTCCACGATATTTTTCCTCGAGGCGAGTCGGGAGGAAGAGGAAAATCTTCGAGTCTTCCAATTCGTTCTTCCATTTACGTTCCATGGTGAGATCTCTATGCTCGGAATGAAGAGGAAATATTTATTTCTTTTTTTAATCGAAATAGTTAAAAGAACGAAGAAACGAGGGGGGAGGAAAAATTGTCGAGAAAGATCGAGATCGAAAACTGACCAGCCATCCCGAAGACTGTCTTTCTCTCTCTCTCTCTCTCTCTATCTATCTATCTATCTATCTATCTCTCTATCCCTTTCTCTGGTGTGATTTGATCCGACTGTTCACAACAATTCACGCAACACGCGCGCGGAAACGATCTTGCGTCTTGGTTCCTTCCTTCCGTTCGGTCAGACGAAAGGGGTGAAAATTATTAATTTATTTCTCACAGTTTCCGCGTACGTGGATGCGTGTGCAGCCGAAACACGACGATCGTAGACGTATACACGTATACGTGTATTATTTAAATATATAGTGAACGTAGAGGAGACCGCCTCCGCAATCGTGACAATCCGAGAGACGATGCCGGTTAGCCACGATCGCCCACCTCTACGTAGACCTGTGTTGTTTTCACACATTTTTTTGGCACGATATAGATAACGCTGGAGAGAGGGGGGGGGGATCGAGGCTCGATCGCGATCCAGTCGAGAGAACGTTTCGCCGTCGATCCCTCGATCCCTGGTGCTTTATCTTTGGGCCGAGATACGCGCGTGCACGTCATCTGGTTTGGAGGGAATGGACCCGCGATCGAGGTAATTTCGATTTCGTATCGATCGATAATATAAGATAAGATTGGAGAGGGAAAGCGAAAAAAACGTACGTTTGTCAGACGATATTATTTTGCCTCGATCGCAGGATCGACTCCGCCAGAAGAGGGGACCGCGATATCTCCTCCACGCTGCGTACTCTGCTAGTTGATTAGTTAGAAAACTATCTAGTTGTGTTGATTCTGCTTGCGATCACGCGGCGGGATCTTGTAACGGAGAAGATCTCGCCGTGGGATCCTCACGCGGCCTGCCGACACCAGAGTAGATCAGACGAGCGTAGTAGGTACGTACACGAAATAATAAAGAGAGAGACACAATATACATAATACGTTCCACTCAACAATTCCAATCCCAATTATATGATACCTTGGATTATTCCCGTGAATTCTGTCCACCGATTCCCCGAATACATTCGTTCGAACACGTAATGACGTATATATATCTCTCGTATACACGCAGGACATACACTTTGTTTGTAACTTTGTATCGTTGGTTTCGATATCGCTGCATGCTAAGTATGAACTTCCTGTCCGAGTACGAAGACGACCATCGTCTTTTATCAAACGAAATACAAGAAATCCGCTCGATTCAATTTCAAATATTTTAAATTATTAGAATTATTCGCAATCTCTACTCTCTGTTTACAGCGAAATTTCTTCTTTACGATTTCCATTCGATAAATGTGACGAATCATTCTCGATTCGGATCGATCTCGCGACGACGTGCGTTGCTATTTTCAAAAAAAAAAAGAAAAAAAAAAAAGAGAGAGATCGAAACCAATCCAGACAGAGCGTGGGGCTAGCTGGCTCTTCCCCCGTTCGACGAAGCGATTAGAGCGAGTCGAAAAGTTGGCGGATCGGAACGGAAGGAGAAAACGGGTGACCCGTTTCACGGCCGATTTGCGTTTCGACCGAAGCGATCGAGGGGAAGTTGGCCGCTGATCGTCCTCGTACTCGGCCACGACGGAGAGTGGACAGACCAGCCGCCTCCGTCGCTCGTTGTTTCGTCGTCGTTTCGAACGCGTAACCGGGTCGCAACCACTGATCCTCTCGTGGACGACGGCTCTTTTTCGCAGCTGGACGAGCTACGGATGGAAGTGCAGCGTAGGGATCAGGAGCTCCTCGCCATGTCCGCGAAAATGAAAACTCTCGAGGAACAGCACCAGGATTATCAGCGGCACATCACCGTGCTCAAAGAGTCGCTCGCCGCCAAGGAGGAACACTACAACATGCTGCAGGCTGACGTGAGTCGATTCCACCATAAATAAATCATCCTTGCCGCGACAAACTTCTCCTCGTTCCTTTTTCCTTCCCTCTCCTTTGAGATCGCCCCTATCTCTCAAACATTTCGAGAGGAAAAAGGGTATCGGTTACAAAGGAAGGGTCGAAAGAATTTCCATAAGTGGCATAATTTATTGTATACGTATATATAACTTTATCAAAAAAAGAGAGAACAAAAGGGGAGAAGTCGAAAAAAAACTTTTCACCGACCCGTTAAATTACGAGCTTCAACGTTAAAGCTTCCGCCATAATCCCCGAGAAGGCTCCGTCCCATTCGAATTTCCCAGCGAGCAATCGAAAACCCGCACCTTGATGAATGCACCGGTAAATGCACCGGTAAACGCAGCAGCAGAGAAGGGGAGGGGAAGGGTCGTACGTACGGGGGTTGAAACTGGGGAAAATCGACTTTACGGGGAGGTGGTTATAGGGGAAAGGAAAGGCCAGGCTGGCGCAGGAAACTAGGTCGTGCAAAGCTTCTCCTACTACGGTTCCCTCGTCCCTCTCCTTCATCCGACTCGTCGTCGCTGGACTCGTAGAGTTTTCGCGTCGCGTGCAGAACGCCGCCCGGATGCAATGCGGCGGATATTGAATAGGTCCTGTCACCCCCACCCCCACTCCCTGCCCCCCTGCGCTCACCTGACAACGTACGATGACCCAGGTTGTGCGTGATTACGTGCGTGCAGGTGGAGGAAATGCGGCAGCGGCTCGAGGAGAAGAACCGGATGATCGAGAAAAAGACGCAGGCGGCGATGCAGGCGCAACAGGAGCGGAATCGTATGAACACCGAGCTCACCGAGCTCAAGGATCACATGGACATTAAGGACAGGAAGATCAACGTGCTTCAGCGCAAGGTGAGTGGCCTTCAATTCTTTTTTTCGATGTATATATATATATATATCTCGTTTGGAAGAAAATTGGAACAACTAGGAAGGATTTTTTTTTTACGCGATTTTATAATTTTAAACGTAAAGTTTTTCGTTTATATCGGTGGTTGTAAGAATATTTGCAAGTTTCTTTTCAAGGAAGTTTTTTTTAAAAAATTATTATATTGATGCGCGATAAATATAACGGGCAAATATTTTTTGTAACGATTATATTTATATTTTTGCACAAAGTGGAGGGAGAAACGTCAATGTCAAAGCGAGGCATCGATCGAAAAGGATGATTTATTTCTATCTCGGATAGAGATAAAGATAATAACCACCGGTATGAATTAAAGTCGAATAATGCAGATTCATTTCGATAATCCATACCACTTTACCGATTCTATTATTTCTCGTTTCTCGCGGTATAATTTATCCCGCTTTCTTCGAAAAGACGTTCATTACCTTACATTCCTCCTCTGTAATCGAAACGATTACGCGAGAATAAAAATTTATTCTTAAAATTCTCTACTCTGCTATCATCAACGATGAATAAAAAAAAAAAAAAATTAAATGATACAATCAAATCTGGCTATTCTACGAACGATCGAAAGAAGCGATCCCGATCTCTCGATCGCGAACAGGCGGTAATTAGTTTCCGCCTGGTGGGAAGGGATTTCGGGGCAACCGATTAATACGTGAGCCAGATCAAAGAGGAAGCGCACGCTTAGCGTTGAATATTCGTAGGATGCGACCGCGGGAGTGCGCATGAGTGTGAATCTTGCTGTCGATTGGAATGAGTGTGAGGCGTGCGCGCGACCGCGCGACATACTTTTTGTAATAATGTTTTCCTTAGTCGTGCTGTGTAAAGGCTGTAGTACGTAAAACACCCGAGATCCCGCGTTATCTTTAAGTTCCGCACCGCCCCTGTTTTTTCTTTTTTCCTTTACTTTCGCCCGATTTATTTTCTACGATTTATTTTGTATCATTTATTTTCGTCGAATTTTCAATAAAAGAACCATTTGGAAATTATATTGGTTGCCTCCTTTTTTTTTGTAATCTCTTCACACGCACCACCCATCCCTATATTTTATATTTTGTGATTTTTTTCTTTTTTCTTTCGTGTGTGTGTATTTTTGTCGGTGATCGACCACGAGCCAAGATCGAGAGAAGTTGGAAAAATAATATTCGCGTCGTGCTCGAAGGGAGAGCTCAAAGGCTGTCGTTGATTACCGACGCGTCTATTAGGTAGAGAAAATTAAGCTTGGCTATTATTTCTTTCTCGTGGAGAGCACCAAAGCTTGTTAATTTTCTTTTTTTTATTCTTTTTTTTTTTTCTTTTTTTTTTTAATCCACGATTCCGTTTATTTCCGTTCCGCGTATTAGACGCCGTATCATTATTGTTATTATTATTGCTGTCGTATCGCGAGTGCCTGGTCGAGTAAATGAGCCGTACACCTGTGAACAATGGCCGTGAAGATCGGTGATACGAGATGGCAGGTAAGTAAGGAATTAACGATCACGTTTGAAAAGAGTTGAACGTAACACGAATAACACGAGTTATGGAGATAAAAATATACTTTGCCAACCGACTAAAAAAAAAATATTTACCCTACGTCCCATTAATCTCTCGCTTACCAATTCCATCTCCTTCTCTCTCGTTCTCACGTTAATCTCGAAGAATTTCGTTATTTTTATCCCGCTTTGTCTTTTCCTCCGCTCAAAACCTTTCCTATATCCAAGAAATAAGAGAGAGAGAGAGAAAGAGAGAGAGGGAGAAAGAGAGCCGTAACGGGAGAACGATTGTGAGTTCAGATCGAGAATCTGGAGGATCTGCTAAAAGAGAAGGACAACCAGGTCGACATGGCCAGGGCGCGTTTAACGGCAATGCAGGCGCACCACTGCAGCAGCGAAGGTGCGCTCAGTAGCCTGGAGGAGGCGATAGGAGATAAGGAGAAGCAAATGGCACAATTACGGGAACAGAGGGATCGGGCCGAGCAGGAGAAACAGGAGGAGAGGGAGTTGCACGAGAGGGAGATCGCCGAGTACAAAATGAAGATACATGCCCTCGAGTCGGAGGTGGGTTCTCCTTTCTCGTATCCAAATCTCGATTTAGATTTTCCCTTTCCCCGCCAAATCGAACGCGAGTATCGTTTTATTATTCATCGTTAAGAAAGAATCGGGATAGATATATAATTATATTCGCCCATTTTACCCGTAACATTTTAATAATAATAAAGTAAAAATTGGAAACGTTTTCCAACCGATTCCTACGATTTATCGCTGCAAACGAATACGAATGCATCGATATTAAATATTCATCAAAGGTGCATCCAGTTCCAAGCACGCGTTCAAAGCGCACATCCCCCTCCCCCTCCCCCCGTTTAACATTGTTTCAGTCGATACGATCGATAATTCCCAGCGGAGCTTCCATGAAACTTTAACTCCTTAGCGTTCGGATCCCGGTTAAAGGAGATCCAGGAAAAGGAAAATCGGCTCGAGATCGCTGTGAAATTTCTGTTTCCCTCCCCCTGCCAAGAGTCAATTAGAGCCCTGTTCGACCTTTCCCCCCCCCTCTCCCATTGAATTTTGGCCGGTTTCAAGGTGGAAAAATTGGGCGCCCGGTTGGAGAGGGCGCAAGCGGAGAAAGATCGACTGGAGGCGAAGCTGGAAAGCTCGCAGTCGGAGCTCGGCAAGAGCAAAGCCGAGCTGGACAAAGCGGCGTCCGAGGTTGGGCGCAGCGGGGCCGACTGGGAGGCTGCCAAGCAGAGGTTGACCAGGCTCGAGCTCGAGAACGAGAGGCTGAGGCACGAGATCGAGAGGTCTCAGACCAGTTACGGAAGGAGCACGCTCAATTCCTCTCAGGAGATGGACAGGATCCAGGAGAGGGCCGAGAAGGCGGCCGCCGAGCTCAGGAGGGCCCAGGCCGAGCTCAGAGTCACGCAGGCCGACAACGAGAGAGCTAGGGCCGAGGCAGCTGCCCTCCAAGAAAAGGTAAAATATTTATTTTCCGTTATTATTAACGACTAGCTTATTTTTCAATCAAAATTGTTGAGAGAAAGTGTAGGAAAGTTCCGTTTCGTTTAATCCTTGCGAGAATAGACTCTTCGTCGTAACGTAGAAATGGATTGACCGATACCCACGAGCAAATCTATCAACCACCACGAAATCGATTCGCAACGGAATTTTCGTCGAGTCGAATAATCGAAAGATCAGGAATCCCTCCTTCCAACCAATTAATCACCGAGCTATCCCAAAACTATGGGTTCTACTCCTGTAATCCGTTAACGAACGGCCAAGTCGATTCGGAAGTCGATCCGAATTCCGCCAAGTCGAAGAAGCAAGAACAATCACTTTTAATCGCGATCGATTCATTCGAGTCTGGATCCGTGATCCATACTCGGGGGGAGGGAGGGGATAGTCGGATCTAATTTCCAATCACGCTCTCGTTCTTCTCGGGCCACCGTCGATGGCGCGAAACGAACCGATAATGAAACTGGCGTCCAAGTGGGCGGAAAATTGCACGCAGCTTCGTGCTCTCGCAATCCGAGACACCTGACTAGAATTCCCCTAAAGATTGCTCGTTACCCCTCGTTCAGATCCGTCCCTTTTCATCGACTCGTTCCTCTCCTTTCCTTAATCTCGAACGAGAATGAGACGGTTCATCGTCTAACGAATATATTAATGTTTACGAGCGAGTGTAGAAGGGAAATTAATTTTAATTGACGCGATGAAACGCATGGATTATTAAGAAAGATTGAATCGATTCGAGATACGAGAAAATTTCTCGATGGATTTTTCAAGGTGGAGAAGAGCCAGGGTGAGGTGTACAGGCTGAAAGCCAGATTGGAAAACGCCCAGGGTGAACAGGAGAGTCTTCGGGACGAGTACGATCGGGCACAGGCGTCGGTGGCTCGTCTACATTCGGAACGGGACAAGGCGATCGCGGAACTCGAGAAAACGCAAGAGGAACTGGAACGGACCCAAGCTACCCTCGGCAAGGCGCAACTTCAACAGGACAAATTGCAGAATCTGTTGGACAAAACGCAGAGCGAGGTGGACAAGCTTCAAGAGAAACTGGACAAAACGCAAACGGAAATTCGCAGGGTGAGTCTGCTAAAAACTACACTTTTTGCAAGATGCATCTTTTAATCTCTTATATCGTATTTATATAAGCATAGGAAGGAAATAAATGTGAATTGGATTGGATTTTGAAACAGATGCAAATGGAGAGGGAAAAGCAGAACTACGATTTCGAAAACGTGCAAAGTCAATTGGACAAAGCGCTCGGCCAATCGACCAGGATGCAGAAAGAGAGGGAAACGATTCAATTGGAAGTGGACCGGTTGCAGGACAAATACGAGAAGGCTCAGGTAAGCGATTTCGCAACGCGGATTTAACAAGGACGGATTTAACAACGCGTCCACTTTTGCACCGGCAGATGATAATGCAACGGCTGCAGAAGGAGAGGGACGGATTCCAAGAGGAGACGGACAAACTGCACGAGAGGATAGAGTTCCAGCAGAATCAAATAGCGAAGATGCAACGGGACAAGGAGAACGTGTTGTCGGAGCTCGAGTTGGTGAAAGAGAGATGGGAGAAGGCTCACAACTCCCATCAAAAGTTAACCGTGAGTAACGATTGGTGGGGACGATGGGTGGGGATTAATGGAACGACGTAATAATTTGATTGGTGTAATTAGCTCGAGCGAGACGACGCTCTCACCGAAATCGAGATCCTGAAGGAGAAATTGGAGAAGGCCCAATACTCGATGAACAAGGCACACGAGGAACGGGAGAACGCGAACAAGGAGTTCGAGAAGATGTTGGAGAAGTACGACAGGTGGGTATTGGGTAGGCAGGTAAAAAAAAGAGAAAAGAAATTTTGTTTCACCGTTGCGTATATATATATATATATATATACGTTGTTTGTTGACGGGGCAGAGCGCAGAGCGAGGTGTATCGGCTGCAGAATCGAATCGAGGTGATGGAGGCGGACAAAGATAGGCTGGAGCTCGAGGCCGAGAAGCAACAAATGTTGGCGACGAAGAGTCGGGACGAGGCGAGGAAAGCGCAGGAGGAGTTGGCTCGGGTGCAAGAGATGTACGATCGAGCCGCTCTTCAATTGGGTCGCACGAAGGAGCACGAGGAGAAGTCGAAGGAGGATCTGGACAGGTTGACGGTCGATCTGGAGATGGTGCGGGAACGTTACGAGAAGTCGCAGATCGAGTTGAGGAGGTTGCAAAACGAGAGGGAGAAATTGGTCGCGGACAACGAGAGGATCAGTTTCGAATTGGAGCGCGCCCACTCGCAGCTGACCAAGGCCCAGGCGGCCACCGACAAGACGCAGGAGGAGTTGGCGCGGATGCAACTGGAGATCGAGAAGATGTACGAGAAGCACGACAGGCAGCAAGCCGAAGTGAGAAAGGCGCAGGCGGAGACGGAACGGCTGCGAGTCGAGGCGGAGAGCGCGCGCGAGGAATGCGAGAGGTACGCGACCAGGTTCGGCAAGTATCAGGAAAATCAGGAACGGCAGAAGGAGGAACACGAGTGGGCGAAGCTGGAGGTGGAGCGGCTCCGCGATCGGCTGGAGAAGGCGTTGGCGGAGCTCGAGCGCGCGAGGAAGGCCGAGCAGGACGCCTCGAGGCTGCGCGCCGATCTGGAACGTGCGGAGGGAGCGCGAGGTAAATACCAGTACGAGCAAGAGAAGTGGCAGAGCGAGGGTAGTAGGCTGCAGCAGGAGGTGGAGAAGCTGCGGGAACGTCTGGAGGGCCGTGAGACCGAGCTGAAGAGGACGCAGTCGAGCAACGCCGAGCTCGAGGCGAAGCTGCACGAGACGCAGCTTCAGCTCGAGCGGGCGCGCGAGGAGACCAACAAGGCGACCGCGGCGCAGGAACGGAATCGCGGCGAGATCGAACGCGCTAGAATCGAAACCGAGAAGATACGCGATCGTCACGACAAGGTGAAGGCGAGAGCGGACGCCCTGGAGGCGGACAACGAGAAGCTCCGGGTGGAGATCGTACGGTTGGAGAGGTTGATGCAAACCGAGGGTAAGACCAGATCGGAGAGCGCGAGCATCGAGGTGGAGCGGCTGCGCGCGAGCCTGGACAAGGCGATCGTGGGGCGCGATCAGGTGGAGCTCGAGGCCGGCAGATTGGCGAAGGAGTTGGAGAAGGCGCACATGCAGACGGCCAAGTATCAGGAGGCCGCCGAGGCGAACAAGAAAGAGTTGGAACGGCTCGCGGCCGAGACGCAGCTGCTCAGGGACGAGCGGGAGGCGCTGAGGCAAGAGTTGAGGCGGGTGCAACAGCAGCAGCAGCAGCAACAGCAGCAGCAACAGATGGCCGGAAGCGAGGAGATGGCGCACCTCCAGCACGAGTTGCAACTGGCTCAACGGGAGCGCGACAAGATGGCCGCGATCCTCGAGAATCGGGAGAAACACTCGGAGAAGATCGAGAAGGTGAAGGAGAAGCTCGAGGCGGAGGCGAAGCAGTTGCAAGTGGAACGGGATCAGCTGGTTATACAATTGGAGAAGTCGCAGGAGATGCTGGTCAACTTCCAGCAGGAGTTGGAGACGAACGAGGCCGAGTTGAAGCGTCAGCGGGACGAGGTGCGCCGATTGCAACAGTTGCAGCAGCAAAGGGTGCACGCGCAGACGCCGGATAGAGCGGCGAAGGAGGCCCTCGAGGCGCAGATGCGAGAGGTTCACCGGTTGGGCCAGCAGGTGCAGAGCCTGACTCAGGCGCAGACGAAGGAACGACAGAGGGCCGAGCAGGCCGAGAAACGAGTGCAGGAACTTCAGAAGCAGATCGCGTCGAGGGATGCGAGCGCGGCGGCCGCCGGTGGCGTGAACGAGGCACAGCTCGAGCAATGGAGGAAGCTATGCGAGACGGAGAAACAGAGGGCGGACGCGGCTGAGAGGCAGGCTGCCGACTTGCAAAAGCGTATCCAGAACACCGAGAGGCAGTTGCACGCTCAACAACAGCAGATCCAGCAGATGCAGGTGACGATGCAGCAGCAGCAACAGCAGCTACAGCAGCAACAACAACAGCAAAACGGCCAGGAGGTCGCCAGGCTGAGAAAGGAATTGGAACGCGCCCAAGAGAGCGTTAAGCAGGCGGGCGTGGAGCGCGAGCGGTTCCAGGATCAGCTCGAAAAGCTGTGCCAGGAACTGCAGAAATCTCAGGTTAGCAGCAGCAGCAGCAGCACGGCCTGCATTCGCTCGCGCGCTAACCTACTACTACCGCTACTACTACTACTACTACTGCTACTACTGCTACTACTACTACTACTACTACTACTACTACTACTACTACTACTACTACTACTACTACCACACTACTACAGCCTACATCCGCACCATAATATGCCTGCACTATGTCTCTCTGCCTATGTATTACCGTTGGCTGATCGTTGTCGACTGGCTACCGACACATCATCGCGCCTCCTCGTCTCTCTATGTCTTCTCATTTCAACCGCAGCCTCTGCCTTCGTCGTCGACGAAGCAGAAACTCGCCCACAGCTCATTATACACGCCGCAAATAACAGACAAAAAAAAAATAATAATAATAATAATAATAACGATCGAATCATATCAGATATTATATACGTATGTAAACAGAACGATAACGATCGAACGATATATCGTGTATATATATATACATGTATAAAACATATATATATACGTATACAGATGAAATCGGAAAAAAAAAAAAAAAAAACAAAAAACAAAAACCAAAAACCATGATGCACCCGCACAATCTTTCTCATCTTACGTTGCGTATATGTATATCTCGGGGCGTCCGTCACACTTCACAGCGAAGCGCAACATCGCCTTCACCATTTATCATCATCCTCCTCGAATTTTTTTTTTTCAAATCCTCCATCGATCCTTCCGTTTCCTCCTCCTTCGAAAAAAAAAAAAAAAANAAAAGAAAAGGAACCCTACGAACCCATTGCGATTTTAGCTCTCAAGCACAGCCATATTTCGCGCTCATATTGCTCTTCCTTTTCGTTTCTCGAGTATGTTCGATGGTTATGCCGTTTTTTATCTTGTTATGTTTTATCTTGTCGTTATCACCACGTATCGGCACGGGAGATGATCAAAGAGGCGATGAGACCGAAAAGAAAAAAAAGAAAGAAAGAAAAAAAGGACACGAGGTTCAACGTTTCGAATGGAAACGGAATAGAATGGAGAGGAATAGAAACGGAGATCCTCTCTCTTTCGTCGATTCTTTCATCATCGACTGGTTATTGTTACTGCTACAAATAATTTTGTTGCGCGTTCGTCATCGCAACGATGAGCAACCTTATTACGATTATCGCATTATTCTTTTTTTTTTTCTTTTTTTTTTTTCCCTTCTTACGTTCCCCTAATTTTTTTTTACTTTCGTTTTTGGGAGCATGCCGTACCACGTATTCGAGATGCCAGAGATAGAAAATGGTTGAGAATCGGTTATTGCGCAACATGCGATGTACGATGCGATGTGACGATGTTTCGATGTCTCTTGTCTGCGTTCACGATCGAGCATAGAAATTTTGGGAATGATTTCTTTTTTTTCCACATCGAATGCACAAAAGAATGCGTTTTCCGCACCTTACTTGTATACCATACGAGTATATATCACCTTCGAGACATTTTTTATCTCGACGCATACACGATTTTTATCTATTGTGTATTTTGTACATATTATTATCATTATACTTCGCTATGAACGTCACTTAGATTTTACCAGGGATTTGCGAATTTCTTATTCGTCTAACTTGTTTTTCAATTGCGTTCCTATGCATCTCTCATTTACGAAAACCGTGGCCATCGCGATCGATTCGATTCGATTCGATTGATTCGAAAATCGAGTCAAATTCGGGGGAGGGAAATTGGAAATTTTTTGAAAATAATATATAGGCGTAGGAGAATGAGAAAGATCGGACGTAATGGTCACGGGTCATGCAAGCGAAGCGGCTTTCATTTGCCTAGCTTTAGCGTCTGGTAGACAGACGGGGAGGGACGAAAATTGATAAGATTCGTTTCGACGCAGGTGGACTTGCACGAGGCGAACAAGAAACTCCAAGCTGGCGCCGCGAAGGCTGGTATCGATACTACTCAAGAGAGAAGGCAATTGGAGGAGCAGAAACGCCAACTGGAAGAACAGAGAAGACAGACGGAAGAACGAGCGAAGTCCGTAGATCAGAAAGCTAGAACGATAGAGGAGAAGGAGAGGACGCTCCAAAGTCTCGACCAGGACTTGAAGAAACGGAAAGCGAAGATGGATCAGTTGGAGCAGCAGTTACAAAGGGTAAATTGAGAATATTGAATCGGGATTGAAACGAGGTCGATCGTTTTTGTCGTGCCTTCTCTCGTATATTTTTCACATTTCTGTTTTGTAGAGCGGTGGCTCGCCGGACAAGAGATTGGCGGAAATGCAGAAGGCTCTGGAAACTGCCGAGAAGGAATTGGAAAAGGCGAAAGAGGAATCGACCAGAAGCTCTGCCGAGACCGAAAGGTTGCTGCAGCTGATGCAGATGACCCAGGAAGAGCAGAATGCCAAAGAGAGACAAATCAGAGAACTTCAAGAGTCGGTATCTGAAAAATAAAAAATAATCCAAATAATCCTGAACGATCCTCGTTAATCATCTAATTCTCTCTTCCAGTGCACTCAAAGCCGCACAAGCCAAGTTGAAACAAGCCGCAACTGCACAGCAACAAGAGGTCGGTATATACAAAATTATTTTATTACTCTCTCCGTCAACAAATTTTGAGAACGCGATCAATCCTTTTTTTCGATACGATGTATTTCAAGTAATTTTCAAGTCGAAATATCTTATATATATTCCTTTGCAACGATCGAAATCTCGAAATTAACATCGATGGAAAAGCGACTAACTAGGTGTCTTTCTCAATTTTCACGCTGACCCCCCCTGGATACGACACGTACACGTACGATACGTATATTTGTATTTGCTTGCTTGATCACCATTGTTTGCTTTTTCTCTATGTTTGTTCGCCCTATTGTGTCCCAACTCCAATTATATATATATATATATATATATATGGTGTATGGTGCATTTTTCGATTTTGTCTCGTTTGCGAAAACGAACCGTGCGTTTCCGAATGGAAAAAAAAAAAAAAATTCATTTGACTTGAAAACGCAACAGGCGGGTCCCACCGGATTCCTAAAAAGCTTGTTCTAAGGTCGATTTTCGTTGGGGACGCCTTCTCCGTTCTTTTTAGTACAATTTGCATATTAAGCGAACTTTACAAGTACACGAACTTATTATACGAAACTAAATAATACGAAAGGAGATCGTACTGAGATTCGCCATTGACGACACACTTTGTCAAGATACATAATTATTTTACGTAACGCTGCGACCATTGTTAACATATTTAATAATTGATAGCGGGAAGATATTGACGATAATAACAATAATTATTAATACATATAAATATATATATATATATAAATATAGATATATATATATCTATATGTATATATATATTAAAAAAAATATATATATAAATATTAATGTAAAAATGATGAGAGAGAGATGAGTGAGAGAGAGAGAAAGGAGAATACGGCAAATACAATAATGTTAATTAATTTATTAACGAAGCGATCGTGTATGTACATATATATATGTAATATGAATATATGTATATACATATCACGCAGGAGAATGGGACAAACGCATGTACTGTACATGTGTATATACACGTACACGACAGAGAGATATACGTATATATGTAGATATATAAATATAAATATATACATAAAGTAAACGTAAAAGAGAAAAAGAGGAAAAAAAGAAAAAATATCGAGAGATCACGTTGAAAATTGTGTAAGAGAACGAAGAGAAGAAAAGGAAAGGGGAAAAAAAGAGTCTTTTTCGAGATTAAATTTTCACGTCGTCGTCGTCGTCGTCGTCGTCGTCGTCGTGCCAGAGAGTTTACGATGGTTTCGTCGACGAGAGCGATGAGACAGCATGAGGAGAGGAAACGTGAGGGAGAGAGAAAGAACGAGGGAGACGACGCATAAGATCCGGAAATTCGATCGATGTACGTACGCCAGTAGCCATTTGGAGACGCACCCTTACGTCGTTCGCCACGAGACAATTCGATGTTCACGGGCCAAAAGACAAAAAGCCACCGTTGTTCGTTCTTAATTTTACCCAACCACTTTGAACCCACCATCCACCTTTAACCCTGTCCACTTGTTCTTTCCGTTCAATTGTTTTTCTTCGAAACGCTCGCACCTGTTGCCTTCGCGCACGCACCCACCGATGCACGCACACAGCAGCCAGAAAGCATCCTCGAAAGCAACAGGGGACACGAAGAGGCGAGAAGAATCGAGGCGAGGGATCGAACGATGACGGAATTGGAAGCGAAGGTATCCTCCTTGGAAACATTGTCGAAGGAACAGTCCTCTTGTTCCCCGAAGAGGATCAAGGACGCCAAGAATTTTAGTTTGGAGGATAACGAGCAAGGTTGGAAGAAAGAGTTGGAAACGAAGAACAGAAGAATAGCCGAGTTGGAGGACCAATTGATGGCATGTAAGAGCGCGAAGAATAGCGACAACGTATGCACCCAAAGCTTGAAATTGATGGATGAGGCGAAGGAGGGGAAAGAGTCGTGGAGGAAGGAGGTGAGAGCGAAGGAGGATCGAATATTGCAGCTGGAAGACGAGATGGAATCGTTGAAGCGTTTGATCGAGGAATATAAAAGATCGGAGGAGAACGAAGCTAGAGTGCGAGATAAGGATAACGAGAGTTGGAAATTAGAAGTGGAGGCGAAGAATCGACGAATCGTTGAATTGGAGCAAGAGATGGACTCGTTGGAGAATTTTCTCAGGGAACACGCGGATACGGAAAGTATACGAGACATGGAGATGGTGATCGAGAGGAAGGCGAGAAGAATAGAGGAGTTGGAGGATACCGTGGCTGAATTCGAGGATTTTCTAAAACAGAATCCCGATGTGAAAGAGCTGCACGATCTTCGTTGCCAAGTGACAGCTGGAAATAGACGGATTCAGGAATTGGAGAGATGGATCCAGAAGAACGACGAGAATAGAGAGTCTAGGATCGATCGGGAAAGAGTGATCGAGCTGGAGGAAATGGTCACGCAATTGGAGGAGTACGTGAGGGAGCACAACGTCGACGTGTTGAAGAGAAAGTTGGAAGACAGGGAGTGCAGGATCGATCAATTGCAAAATCGCGTTGGATACTTGGAAAAGGAATTATTGAAGGTTGAAGAGGCTCATCGAGGTAAGATTGTTTCAAAATCATGAATTAATTCCTTTGTTTTTTCACTTCCTCGTCTGCTAAAGAAAAACTTAAGTTTTTAAAGCAACGATCATTAGAAAAATTCCAATTTGCAGGTAAAGAAACTCAGGTAAAGAAGGGCGATCAAGAAAAAGAAATAAGGACCGAGGATTCTCTCTCTGCTCAAATGGTGGAAAAGAATTTCGAAAAGGAACAGAAGATGAAGAAGATGGAGCACGCTATATCCGAGAAAGACAACAAGATACAGGAGTACGAGCAGCAAATCCTTGAGAACAAGGAAGAGACGACGAAGCTGAGAAAGGAGGTGGCAAGCCTGAAGAAGGAATTGAGCGAGTACGACGACATCGGTGTTCTGAAGGAAGAAATTAGAGTGAGGGACGAGAAGATTCAACAACTCGAGGACGAAGTAGACTCGTTGGAACGAGCGTTCAGCGAGAGAATCGATCTGGAGCAAATCGAGGAGCTGGTGAACGTGATCAAGGAGAAGGAAGACAAGGAACGACAATTGTCGAAAGATCTGACGGAGAAAAGATACAAGATCGAGGAGCTCGGCGAAGCTCTTCGCGAGAGTGTCGTCATCACGAGCGAAAGTGAGAGGAAATTGAAGAACGAGGAGAAATTGAGGCAGGAAGCTCTTCAAAGGGTAAAAAAAGAATGCATTTTGAAAAAAAAAAAAAAAGAAATCGAAATTCTTATCATTTTCTTTTTTTTTTTTTTCTTTCTTCTTTTAGATAACCAAATTGGAACAGAGAATTGCCTCGATGCAATCCGCTTCGGCATTAAAATGTATCACTTGTCAACCTCTTCTATCGAAAGTGCAGAAATACGAGAAGAAACTGAAACGTCTCACGGAAGAGAGAATCGTGCAGCTCGAAGACCTCCGTCAAATGAAGTAAGCAAGCAGTGATATTTCTTTGATACTTTCCTATTAATATCCATTGTTTCGTAAACTTGTTCTTTTCTTCCTTTTTTTTTTTTTTTTTCTTTCGATAGACGAGAAGCTCTGAAAGCTGCAGTTTCCGAAAAAGACGCCCATCTAGCTCTGTTGGAACTTTCCGGGATAAAAACTGCCGCCCAATCCGAGCAAGCCGATCAACTGAAGGCAGATAGGAAGAGGTTATTGGAGAAACTGAAGAAAGAGGTAATTTCTAATTCTTAATTCTTAAAGTGTATATAACAACGTCTTTTTTTCAATATGTGCACAGGATGAGAAAAGCATCGAGTTATCGGTGGTGGAATCGAATCCAACGTGTTCAGAAGGAACGCCACAACTGCTCATCAAGGTTTTGGAAACGTCCGACGACGACGATGAAGAAACAAAGAACGATCGTCGCAGTGATTCGAGCTCTTCCAGACCGGCTACCACGAATGGCAACAGTTGTGCTGATTCGTGAGTATCTTTGCTTAATAAATAATCTTTGGTTATATTCGCATTGCTTTGAGAGAAACACAAGGAAAGGCACAATTTCATCAATTTCATCGTAGTAGCCAAATAGACAGATCGCTTTAAAAAAGAGTTGCCGCCAGTGGATAGAAATGTTAGAAAACTTTATCGTTGAAACTTTAACCCGAGTGAATAATACGGTAGATCACGGAATTCTCCACGAAGTTGTTCTCGCGTTGTTTCCCCGCAGAGAGAAGACGTCGACGGAGTCGGAATCGAGAAACGATCGAGAACGGGCGAACAACAGAAGCGACAAACAGGATAGCAGATAAGTAGACCAGGCCAGTCGTAACGAATCGGTAGAGAGAGCGAAAAAAAAAAAAATATATATATATATATACGCTATCGATCTTCTTCGTTTCTTCGATGTTGTTACGTGCACACACACGCAACTGTAGAAGCAATCTAGAGCATTTCTAGAGCATTTAGAGAGAAAGTAAAAAAAAAAAAAAAAAAATTAATAATAATAATAATAATAATAACAATAATAATAACCGACAAACAGGCAACAGTGATACCTCATCGACATCGACAGCGACAATACAAGCAAACAACAACCATCCCCAGAACCATCGTTCATCGCTTCATCATTTTATAATCATCAATGATCATCATTATTCGCCATTATCGTCATCCATCCAGTAATCATCATCCATCCAGTCAAATCATCGTCCACGTCGCCCCCTTGCCACAAATTCCAAAAAAAAAGGAATCGGCCGAGGAGGATTCAGTGGGAGGGGGGGGTGGGCAGTGGTAGCTTCGTTTCAAATCGCGAGAACGTCGCTATGCTTTCGCCTGGAAGTTTTTGGAAAATAGAGAAAGATCGGTGGAAGATGGAATATGATTCGATCGATCGTAGAATCGATCCCGAAAATTGGCGCGAAGAGAAGAATTTTTCGTTTTTTTGATCCGTTCTTCTTATCGTTGCGAACCAATCGCTTGAAATTTTTGCGAAACTCGACGGAAATACAAATAATTGCTCGAGATGATCGAGACAGAGCGTCGACGGAAGATCGACTTACACTTGTTATTATAGTATCTAGATAGTTTTTTCGGTAGACGAGTTGATTGCATGTCCCAATGATCGTCCGGGGATGCTCTGTTTCACGGGGAGATGAATATATGCACAGTTTTCCATCCGTTGATTTTCTTTCCGCTACGTCGAGTTTCGTTCAACCGCTCGATACTTTATTATTCCCGTCGGTGTGTGTGTATAAATATCAGAAAAATATCAGAGAGGGTGAAACGCGACGTAAGGGTAGCAATTCGCACTTCGTCCTTTGGTCGAAAATGTAAATTGTGTAATTCGAAGAAAAAAAAAAGAGAGAAAAGAAATACGAGAGGAGAGACGAGAATTCGAGAAAGATTACAGAGAAGTCAAGTCGATCAATTCCGAGAATATCGTATATCCCCGTCGTTATTTTCTTCCCATCGTCCGTGGAAATGACGTGGAAAACGCAATCCAAGTATGTACAGGACGAGTGTGTACAGGACAGTTTCACTCCTTTCCTTCTTTTTTTTTCTTTTTTTTTTTCTTTTTTTTTTTTTTTGGATTTCTTGCCACGGGTCCAAAGATCGTCGTTTGTATAACGAGCGCATAGAACTCTAGTTGAAGGGAACGGAGAATAAAAAGAATAATTACGAGAAAAGCGAGAAACAAATAAGAAATTAACGAGGCGAGAGATGTAGTTAGATAGTTAAGAGGGAAAAGAGGTACGCAAGACGAGGGAATATAAAACGTGAACTGGAACAATGGCGTAAGGCCGAACGAGCTAACGTTGTTTCGAGATTTAATGAAGAAATGCACGAGGACGAAAAGAGTGAAAGAGAGAGATTCGAGTCAAGTGGTGCTGATTAGCTTTCAAGATGACAATAAACGAACATTTCGTGCACGCTCGATGATCTTGCGATGCAGAAACAAATAAATAAAGAAGAAGAAGAAGAAAAAGAAGAAGAAGAAAGAGAAAGAAAAGAAAAGAAAAGGAAAGAAAATTCGGACGCACGAAAAAAACGCACTTTTCTCTCCCATCGGGGGATTCGTCGATTTATCGTTCCGAATCTTTAAAATCGTTGCTTGATTCTTCTACAGAGAATCCATCCATCGTTCATTGGGAAATGAAGGGACAAACGAGAGATTTTCTTCTAGGTTCGTAGAATCGAAAGAATCGATTAAAAAGGAAAAAGGAAAAAAAAGAAAAAAAAAAAACCTTCATCGAATCGAATCGCGTGTGTTTAATCGTGTGATAGATGATTTATGGCATCGTTAAAGAGGGTTGTAAATATATAATCGTGAATTATGCTACGAACGAAATATACAGAAGAATTTGTAGAAATATTATATCATAAATCGCGTTAATTGGTATGTTAATCGAGCTACAATTACGATTACGAAGCGTCTAGAGAACTGTTAACGCATGAACGACTTCCATATAGTTTCTCAGTCCCAATTCACTTGGTAACGTGTCTATTTTACGTTGAGAGCAGTTGCAGATATTTATGGAAATTGTTGGAGAGAGAGCCTTCGTTCGTCGATCGATAGAACGATATTTATTGTTATATGAGATCTTTACATATGTGTAAATAGTCACGCATAGATACGTATATTTATAAATCATACTTAGAACGTTTATGGATAATTGCGTGTGAAATATGGTTACGGTTTGTTTTAACAGAGATCTTCGATTCTTCTTCGTTCACATTCTTCTTCTTCACACTGTTCACACTTCTATATTCTTTAGATATTGTTGCAACTCTTCTTCTAAAAAGTTTATAGAGATAGAATTTCTTCCAACTTTCCTTCTCTTTCCTTTTCTTTTCGTTTTTCTTTTCTTTTTCTTTTTTTTTTTTTTTTCTCTCCTTCCTTCGAACTCGTTCTCCCTTCGAGGAAATTAAACTTTCTATTTCCGAGTCTAGTCTAATATAAGGATACAAGTTGCACCGATATCTAATCGAGCTTGAAAAATAGAAAGCCTAAAACGATGGGTTGATTGATTGAACGCGTGAATTTTACTCGATCTTCCATCGAGAAAGTTATCGAAGAAATGAACCATTATTATATATACTACTAGTTCCAAAACGAATCCTCGATCATAGTCTCGAAACCGAACCAAATATATATATATATATATATACATGTAGATAACTCGTACACGTACGAAATCATCGAGCGTTTTCTTCGTGCGTCGAGAAAAACGCGATCCAGGATGTACAGGGCTACGATTGTCCTGGACGAAGGAAGAGAAGGGCAGGAGCGGAAATCACGTTAACGAAGAATATCTCCTTTTGAAGAATGAACGCGTGTCTTAAGGGAGGACCGATAATTATCGACCATTTCCGGAAAACGATATCATCGACGATGATTATATATCAACATCATAAAATTCGTTCAACGAGAGAAGTGAAATTGTGGGCTGAAAGAGAAACAATGTTCTCCACGCGTTATGATAATCGTTACGCTTTGGCAGGATCCGTTCTCGAGAGAAAGCGAGCGAGAGAGAGAGAGAGGGAGAGAGAGAGAAAGAGAGTGTGTGTGAATGAGTGAGAAAGAGAGTGAGAGAGAATATTTTTTTTCTCAGAGTGCGATAGATTAAAATTTTGGCCGATTTATATGGGACAGCAGGGAACAGGATAGAGTTGAAAAAAGAAAAAAAAAAAAAAGAAAAAAGATGAGGAAATCCGAGGCACTAAAAATGGACGGAGAAACGACTCGTTTGTACATACGTTGTGCGTCGATGTTTCTTCGATAGCCCTGTTAAAGATGAGAAAAATTGCGCCCCACCAAGTGGTCCCCGCTGGTTCTGTATTCCCCATTCCCCAAATCGTACAGCTAGTCTAGGGTTAGTCTGTATTACAGTGTAGTGCATAGTTAAAATTATCTCGCTAAAATCGAATTTCTCGAGCATTTAACGCAGCATACGAACCTATACGAACGCCCCTAGCGCCTAGATGCGTGATTACCCGGCCGGAAGGATTTCGCGCGGGAAATTTGAGACGAAGTTGGGCGAAGTTGAATCGAAAGAGGGATAATACGTTTTTCGATGAGTCGAGTGTGCGATTCTTCCAATCGAGTTCATTCCCGCGTTGCGAATTGAACGAAAAATTCTGCGAGCCAACAGGTGGATGAACGTTCGTCGTTTTCGAGCTTTCGAGAAAAGCTTTCGGGAAGCGGGAGTTTCGTGTTGAGGTTGTAAAACGAACGGCCCATTTATCGTCCAGTGTCCGCTCGCCGTCTACATATTATTAATATATAAATAAAATATAAAATATATCGTGGTGTCTGCCGTACGAGAAGTTAAAGCGACTAATGTTGAAAGTGTAAAATTTTATCGTTAATACCTTAAGAAGAAAAAGAAAAAAAAAAAAAGAAAAAGAAGATGCTCTCTTTAATTCGTCGATAAAACGCTCTTACTCGTTGCTAGTTACACGACACACCTTTTTTTCCATTCGATCTCTGACGCGAAAATATTAAGAAAAAAAAAAGAAAAAAAAAAAGAAACCTTTTCGAAAGATTGAAACGATCAATCAAGCGCGAATTCTACTGACCTAGAAGCTAGATCACGTTAACGAATGGAAGGGGATAGACGGATCGTACGTAGACAGGGCAGAAGAGAGCGTCGAGAACGTTATAGGCGGTTGAAGTGAACACGGTTAGCAATATCTCGTCTCGAATTCGGTTCCTCTGCCCTGTGCAAACGAACGAAAGAATTTCGTGTGATCGATTATTATTGCGTTCATCATCAGGGATAAAAGTATATCCTTCTATATCCCTCTCGACTCGAGCGTTCCAAGCATTATATGCGCAGCGAATAGAGCACAGATACTCTCTTAGTTAGTTTCCTATGCGGCATTATCATATTCGAACATCATCGACACGCTTACGCTGGCTTAAACGCTGGTGGCCATTTAAATCGCCATTTCGAATTCTTTCGAGTGCAATCGATGTAGGGAGGATCGATTCAACGAATCTTTCTCTTTGAAAATATGCGAGGAACGAGGACTCTCCCCGCTGGGAGGCAAATTTCTTTGAGAATTTTTGGGAGATCGGTCAAGAGACAATCGAACGACGGTGAGGCTGATTAAATCAATAATAAATAACGATGATAATCAAAAATAATAATCTAATTTTTTATCTGATTTACTTCTGTGTATCCAGAACAATCTTTATTCTCTTATTCGAAACATTTGTGCGGAAGCGATTCGATAAGATCGGAGGGTTTTCGTTCCCCGGCTGTAAAAAATATATGTTTTTTTTTAATTAAAATTATCGAGTCGAGAAAAGGATATTAAGGGGAAAACGAGGGAAGAAATGAAAGTGAGAAGAAAGGGAATAAAGGTAGTAAACGTGTGCCACCGTCATATCAAGCCTATATCATCGTGTTACATTATACATAATATATATAAATGTGTATAATATATATATTATACATATATATATATATATCTAGCAGAAAAAAAAATTAATATTATCGTTAATTGACACAATTGTTAACGTGGAGTGACTGCATTTCGTGTGTGCGTGTGTATTGATGAGCAAACAAATAATAATAAAAAAAAAAAGTCTTTCTTTCGATCGCTCGAGAATTGAGAAGGCCTGAGAGCAAAAAGTTTTCGAATCTTAAATGATCTTCTTACTCTTTATTGTCCAAAATATTAAACTAATCACTTCAATCAGTAATAAAGCAATCACTTTAAACATTTATCATCGTATCGTCTTTATTAGAGATTAAAGAGAAGAAAGTTGTAACCGTAGGATATAATCACTTTAATAATTGATTAATTATCTTCAATTTTAAGACTGTTCAATGGATAAACGAAACAGGCGAACGCGACGAAATGCTTCGATATTGCAATTACTGTTCTATTTAAAAAAAAAATATATATATATATATATTCTGTCCTCCGAGATACGTTTGAATATTTAACGAATATTTATCGAACGAAATAGAAGAGGAAATGGTTACTACTATACGAAATTTTTCGATCGGATAATCTTGTCACGGGAATGCCGTGAAATAAAACGTAGAGAGAGATTAGAAAGACCAAGCGTTATCGAGTAAGTAGTCGATATCAGAAATGGAGCGTACCCATTTATTTGAAAACGACGGAACAGAAATTCTTCAGATTTCTTTCGCGGATCTCTATCTCTAGATACACACGTATGTTATTACTTGTAAACGAAAAGTGGCCAAATTTCAAAATTCTACTATCGTGCGAGTTATATAATTAGGCGATACGAATCTTTAAGAGCGTCTGTGTTTCCAAAAGTAGGGAAATAGAAATTCAAACCGTTTTTTCTCGAAAACGAAATAAAGGATCGATCGATTGGCCGAAGCGAGGAATTTGTTAAGATAAGGGATAAGATAAGGGATTTGACGAAAGGGATAACGATGAAAGATCAACTTGTATCGTTCGTGCCGCACTCGAGTGATCCTAAGCTGAGACTGTTCCGTGGAACAAACACGAGCGAAAATGCGAAGCGAGGAGAGCGAGTATCGCGAGAGCACGTGAACGAGGCCGTCTCGATATTATTTTTCGACTCGACTGTTTAGTATCTACGATGACAAAAAAAAAAAAAAAAAGAAGAAAAAAGAAAAAAACATTTTTATGTGAATATCGCGTTAAGTGAAAATCGTCCCGGCGTGATCGATCTCGCGTTGGAATCGCAGCCTCGTCCAAGCGAAAAATTCAATTCGAGATAAAAAAAAAATTCTCTTTTTCTCGGCAATTTGATCATTCGTCCGTTCACGTTACGCTTATGATATTCTTTTTATTTTTTTTTTTTTATTTTTTTTCTTATCCGTGATGGATACGGTACAATTGGCAATTGATTAATTTAAAAAAGGGAAACAGATCCAGGCCGCGAATCTGATTTTGGAAACCACGCCGCGACGACATGGCTCCTCCCGCCCCCTTTTTTTATTCTCCGATTTCTACGTGTTTAATCGTTAAGCGGAAACAGCTGATATAAGCGACAAAGAGAGATAATGCGAGAGAAAGCGGAAGATGAAGAGTGAAATAATGGAGGACGAGGAGAAAAAAGCGAAAATAATGAAAAGGGAAATCGAGTATCGTGCCCCGTGTTTGAGTTCGATCGTTGATTGAAACACGCAATACGATTTTTCGAAATGTGTGTACATACCTAAGAGAACGATAATAATGAACGAGTGAGTGTGCAGTGGAGAAAAAGAAGAGAGTGAAAGAGAGAGCGAAAGAGAGAGAGAGAGAGAGAAAGAAAGGAGAAAAAAAAAGAGTGAAAAAAAAACGTGATTTAAGCCTAGTCTGTACGAGAGAATCGACGATCGACAGGGATCGAGGGATCCTTTCGAGGTGTGCCGTTTTCTTTCCGCGTTTGTTTCTCTCGGGCACGAGAGATAGGAATCCTCGATCGACACACACACACGGAGATCGCCGTTGGATAGGAGTGAAACGACGAGGCTAGAAATAAGTTTATCGATTAAGCTAAGATTAAGTTATTAAAAAAGAAAAAGAAGAAAAAAAAAGTAAACCGTTTATTGAAATACATTGTTGCAACTGCCATGCTGTGTGCCATTATATAACGAGTCACGTTTGTCGTAAAAAGCAAAAAAAACAAAAAAAAAAAAAGTGTAATATGTGAAATGAAAAAAAAAAAAAAAAAAAAAAGATCGTGCGCGTTTTCCCATCTGTCTGAACTTCTTCGTTACACCGCTTTTCGGTAAAGGTGTTCCAAGCCCGTGTACCCTTCGTTCTGCGCTCGAGACGTCGTTTTCACGCATTCTGAAACATCATCATTAATTGTGAATTTCGAAGAAAAGAAAAAAAAAAAGAAAAAAGAAGAATGGAGAATTAATATCGCGATTGATCTTCGCGATTCCAAATAATAATAATGATTAACGTTTAAGTTATAACGATTTACAATTAGCACACACATATCTATATAGAAATAAAGATTCGACTGATATCACATTGAAGAATGCGAGAAAACTATTATAAATATTTCTCAAGATAATTTTTCTCTTTGTAACAGGATTCTCGTATACCTGCCCGTGTGAACCAGCATGTACATTATAGAAAAGATCGGGATCGTTGTATAATATAAATATGACGACTAATGTATACATATACATATAATATGTTAACACGGATGAGCATGTATACGACGTTTCCGTTTCGAATTTATCTCCCGAGGTCTCCATCGCAGGCGAAGAAGTTTTTTTCCGCCTGAAGAAGAAGAAGAAGAAGAAGAAAAAAAAGAAAAAGAGATTGTTGAAAAAAGAAAGAAAATAGGGGGAGAGGAAAAAAACAGGGCAAACAGCGTGAATGAATTTACGAGGATTCGTTCCTTCACTTAGGGAAACGTAAAAAAAAAGAAAAAAAAAAAAAAAAAAAAAAGAAAAAAAGAAAAAAAAAGACATTTTTTTTAATATACCCGCCGTCGATGTACAATTAATCGCATGCGCGTTTAATCGATGTAACGCATTTTCAAACATGAGATAATATCGCGACACTCGATTATTTATCGAGATCTTATCTTTCGAGAAAAGCTATCACGTGTAAAAAACGAAACGAAAAAATTTGACACACACTTCGTGGAAGAAATCGATTGATATTAAACATTTTGCGATTGTTGCAGCGTTCAGTTTTTTCAATAATTCTTGTATCGTTTAGAAAGACATATCGATTAACCGGTAACTACACACGCACGTATATACATACATACATACATACATACATACATACATACATACATACACACGTTCGCAGGTAATAAAATTTTTTAATCATTGTCCCTTTCGATAGGCGACGATTACGAAGAAAATATATATATATATATATGTATATATGTATATTTTCTTTTTTTTATTTTTCATAATTAAGGAGTGTGTGGTTGCTGGTTAATGGTAAACTCGTTTACAAAACTATACATATACATATGTAACAATATTGCTATCTCGTTTTACGTATACGTATCACTTGTAAAAATGATTAATACATACATTAATACATACATACATATTTCCAAAGGAAAAAAAGGAAAGAAACACTACGTCATACACACAGCATAAGACTAATGTGTTCATCGATCACGTTATTATATAGACATCACAAATATTTGTTGCGCGAAAACGAAAGAGAAAAAGAGAAATGGGATAATAATAACGAAGAGAAGCAGATCGAGATGGAGAAGAAGTCATTAATTTCTTAGAGACCCACGCAAAAGAGAGAAAAAAAAACGAATTCCTATATTCGCGAAACTCGGATTTCGCATCGCGACGTCTTGAAAGAAGTAGCGAGTATAATCGAATTTGTCAGTTGGCAACCGACGGTGTGAGGAATGAACGAAATAGAGAGAGAGAGAGAGAGAGAGAGAGAGAGAGAGAGAGAGAGAGAGAGAGAGCGAAAGCGAGCGAGAGAGAGAGAGAGAGAGAGAGAAAGAGAAATAATTAAATAAACCAAAAATGACGTCGACCCATCATAGATTCAAGCACAATAAGGAACTAGTAGGGCCAGGCACAATAAAATTCGGCCGTCACGTTGTAGACAGCGATCTGTTAGAAACGACAAGTCATATTAAGTATCTATATAGCGAGACTATTAAATAAACACATATTGTCTATTGTCACGAAAAGTGTATTCATTGTTAAACGCTGACCCCTTTCTCCAAGAATTTTGATTATAGACCTGATATTGAATTGAATAAACACACTTATGAAAAAAAACTTATGGTACTATTATTTCTTGAACATAATTCTTGAATATAATAATAAATTTATCGCGAGAATTTTATATATATATATTTTCTCATTACTTGACATATAAAAAAAGGAAAAAGTAACTTGCAATGTAAAATATTTAATAGTATAGTAATCTATTGATTGATCATACTGAAGTTGCTTAGTTGATTTTTTATATAAAAGAAAATCATTTACATCGATAATATTATTTTCGTTGTATAACGAAAAATCGAAGTTGTTGAATTAATAAAATTGAATCAAATTAGATTGAATCAAAATATATAAATAAATAGATGTAGAAAATGGCACAAAAAAGAGGCGAATATGCTAGAGCTATGCGAAGAAAAACTCGCAAATTGGAGATACGCACCGGTAATTTGATGTAACCTAAATTTCGTGTATTAATTATCTTGATAAATCGTAATTATATAATCGACAGAGCAAGAAAGAAGAAAGAGAGAATATAAACGCGATGAAAGGGTAGATAAAAAATCAGAAATCGCACGGATGAGAATCGAATATCACACGAAAATATTTGCCTCGATGTGTCCGGATGAAATCTTGGATCATTACGACGATTATAAAACTCGAATGTATTATACGACTTTAATGCTTGGCGATGTGTCGGGTATAATAACGATTTCATAACGAATAAAAAAAATTAAATTTCATAGAAAAGGATAGAAAAAGAATTTTTCGTCAAGGTTTCACAGACCTCGCCGAGAAATATACTAAAATTGGAAAAGGCGGACCATCGAAATTGTCAGAGACATTGAACTCTTATATCGGTGCTATGGTGCAAGAAATACTTTATCACGAAGGTGACGTGTTGAAATTTTCCGGGGACGCGTTCATAGTGATGTGGAAGCTTCACAAAGGGATGATGATGCGAGATTTGGCCGTGACAGCGATGCAAACTGCTTGTATCATTCAAAAACACTTTGGAACTTACGAAACTGAAATTGGAGTCACTCTTAAAGGTTTGTTCATTGGCTGAGAGAGAGAGAGAGAGAGAGAGAGAGAGAGAGAGAGAGACAAACATATCTTTTAAGCGTAACAATCGAATATAAATCGAAATACAAAATTTATTGAAATACGATCGATATTGTTTCTTAAAGTAAAATTGGCAATTGCTTCTGGGAAAACATATTTCACGTCTATCGGAGATCCAGACACCATGTCTCACTACATTATCACCGGAAAACCGGTGTGGGATGTGAAATTTGCTGAAGGCCTTTGTCGGTAATTAAAAAAAAAAAAAAAAAAAAGAAAAAAAAATCTCACGTTTAATTATCTCACCACGATAATTTAAGAAATCATCATCGTTCGCGTTAATTATATTAGAGGAGGTGATATCATAGTAGCTCCCAGTAGCTGGCAATGGGTGAATCCGCACGAATATATCCATGAAACACTTCCCGATGGTATACACACTCTTATTATAACTTGCACAGCCTTATGGTATCAAATTAGGGAAGATGAAATGACCGAGGAAGGTATTGTAATTAAAATTATCCCATTTCGTTTGTTAATTTCGATTTTTTCATCGCGATTCCTTATTAAAAGTAAATTATTTTATTTTATTTAAAACAAGAGGAGGAATACATAGTAGAAAAATACGATCCAACTATCATAGCCAGAATGCATTTAGAGGAGAAACCTGAATTGACCGAATTGCTGACCAGGCAACGATACGAGCATGAAAAGTTCGAGGACGTCGATTTCAGCTGTAAGAAAATCGTATCGTGTGTCGAAATAAATATATTCTATGCTTAGAAACGCATGTTTTAGTACGGCCTAAAGTTATAAAAGCGGCAGAAAGTCATCTGAAAGGAGCTTTAAAAAGTTACATGTTGAGACCTGTCATTCGTTCCGTGGAAATGGACGAACCATTGGAATATCTAACCGAAATGAGACAAGTGGTGATTCTCTTCATCAATGTGATCACCATCGATGTGTACAAAGAAGCGTTAGTCAATTTAGTGAATATCGTTTATAAACTTGTATGCCAGTAAGTTATTATCTCTTCCTCCTTCGCATCTTCCTTCGTAACGCTCCTTTCACTTTCCTTTCGTTCCAAGGATCGTCGGTGAAATGCACGGATGCGTGAACAAGACGTCCCTCTTCGACAAAGATTTGATGTTCCTCTGCGTGTTCGGTTTAAGAGGCGATAAGCACGAATTAGAGTCGCAGATCGGTTTGAAATGCGCGTACAAATTAAGATCGATTCTCGCGGCGATGAAAAATATTAAATCTGTGACCGTAGCTGTGACCACAGGGATGACGTATTGTGGAGTAGTTGGGCATATTTTGCGAAGGGAATACACAGTGATTGGAACGTCGGTGAATAAAGCTGCGAGGCTTATGGTAGCGTATAAGGACAAGGTAAGAATTAGCGGATCTTTAAATGTTATTTTGCAGAAGACAAGGGAAAATAATGAAGAATCGGTAGGTGATTTGTGATCGAGAAAGTTTTCTTCATTCTCATCTGGAGGCTAGCCATTTCATTTTACAAGAGCCAAAATATTTAAAGGGAATCTTACATATTGGACCGATATACGAGTTCGAAGAACATCCAAAGTAAATATATTTCTCATATATAATGTAATGTTTATACGATATGTATGATTAGTATATTTTGAAAAATTATAATAATTATTAAATTTATGTCTAATAATAATAATAATAATAATAATAATAATAATAATAATAACAATAGGTTGGTCTCGTCGTATTTAATTTGGAATTCATATCCTTTACTCGATCGAATCAATGAAATGAAAACGTTTAAATCGATGTTAACAAAATTGATACAGTATAATGCTATAAATGAAGAAAAGCGTGGTCCACGACCAGAATACAATACGCTTGTTATAAAGTGATTATCCTTACCTTTTATCGTTTTTTTTCATCTCATTATCATTGAAATATTTTGTCCCTGATATAATATATTTTCCATATATTTTCCCCCTGGATTCAAAGGGGTGAACCACGAATAGGAAAGACAAGATTACTAGATGAATTTACACGAAACATTTCACCGAATATACGTTATAATTATATTAACTTGCAACCAGAAGATAGCCAGGTTCATACTTCATTTAAAATTATTATAAAATTTCAATCTCTTATTATATAGATATCGCTAATGTTTCTTTTTCAAATCCTTGACACCAACCAAATGTGATTTATTTCTCAGTGCAGATCCCGTATATGATGATGAATTTAATATTTTCAAAACCTCTTGATTTTACCGCGATGTCTACGCAAAAAGAACGCGAGGATAAACTACTTTTGCGTCTAGGAAAAGTGAAATACCCGTATTTCCTGTGCGTTTTCAATGAACCTTTCAACGTAAAATTCCCTATCAGTACTGATTACAACGAATTAAACGAGACACAGAAACGAAAGCTTTTAAGGAAGTTCTTATTAAAATTAATAAAAAGTAGTTTCAGAGAGTTGTGGGTGAATATCATAGATGATGCGGAATATAGCGATGCAAATTCCTTAGAGGTATTTGACGTTTTCATGAAAAAAGATACAATCTTCTTTGTGATTAGCATTGGGCGGAAAGTAGGCACGGACTTCCCAATATTCTTCAATATTCTTAGCAAAACACTAGTAACTTGTTTAATTCTTCTTTTATAAATGTAAATTATATATACCAATGATAAGTAAAATCGTTTGTTAAAAGGTAATAGAATTGGTTGGAATAGACAAGTGGTATCATGCTGCGTTAGCGTGTCAGATGCTTAACGTGGATGGTCTACCCGCGGAGCTTGAAAAGTAAATTTTGATCAAATTTTTTTAAAAATTATCATCCGAACATTTACAACAATTCAAATTCTATTATTATAACTCGACGCGAAAATATTTTCTTTCTTTTTTTTTTTTTTTTTGAAGAATAATACAAAAAAAAAGTTTTGGTAATCCTGGTTGGATCGAAAGTTATCTATTGAGTCTTCTTCAAGTTGGAGATATAGAAATAGTACATATAACGAGAAGAGAAGCGAATAATAAAGGTTACGTGTTACCTCCTGCATATATGTTGAAAAGGTGTATTTGAAAATCAATGCTCATGCGTAATGCATAAATACTAATTCCACGAAATTTTCATCAGATTTGTTTCGCACGTAGATGAAATTAAGGATGTTCGCGATGATAGATGGCAGATGTACATGGCTAGTTATAAGGTACGTTCTTCGTTGGTCAAAAGTTTATCCTTAATACTCCTTAATAATGTTTTACTTCAGGAAAGCAAGCCTGTGATAACAAAGCCGGGAAATATGCGTAGACATTTGAGTATCGATCCTGAGGAAACTAAGATCGCCGTTTGCAACATTTCAAAAAGTTTCACGTATGGGGAGGAAAATTCTGAAATTACGATGGATGGTAGAAAAAAAATAATTCATTTATTATTGGCATCGTATCGATAAATAATAAAAAATATCAAGAATAACAGAAAATATTTATATCAGTTATGATATTGAAGCTTTTCGATTCATTGACACCTCTTGATCAACTTATTTTGAAATATGCTTCCGTGATCGGGGAAACTGTAAATAGACAGATGTTAGAAAGTTTAATGGCCATCACTTCTAAAAGAGACATCGGTCTTGGTAACGCATATATTTATTGTTATTTCTGAAATATAATATATCTAATTGAAGATTAGAAAAATGCATAATTTATTAGCTCTTATGAAACTCTTCGAAATACGAATCTTTGGCTGCGCAATTGGGGATTTTACCAAAACTAAAGGCCCTATAATATTTATCAAAAATATACGAAATAATAACTCAGATGTCTTCTGCAAGTGTATTGGCCTTACTATCCCAGGTACGTATTAATTGCAACGTATTAATACAGAAATAAATAAATCGTATAAATAATTGACTCGTACTAATGAAAAGATACGTTTCCTTAGATGAATTGAAAGATTTGCCAAAATATGCTTCTTGTGGGTTGATAAGATTCAAAATGACGATGTTCCGTGAAACTACTTATCGGTATTAATTTTTTTTTTTTTTTTTTTTTTTTTTAATACGAGTAAATTATTATTATATCAAGAAAAATATATTAAAAAATTTAAATTTATTATAAAATAGATTACTGACAGAAAATCAGAAAATAGAGTTGCACAATCAAGCATTGAAATATTTACAATATCATACAAGACGTTGTATTTCTTGCGGAGAAGGTCGATTCGTAAAATTATTAGGAGAAATATCGAAAATAGAAGAAACAAAGAAAAGAATAACAGAGGTAGATGAGATATTCGAAAAAGATGTTTATGAAGAGAAAGATATTGAAGATGAAAAAAAGAAAAGTAAGTTGAAATATTTCAAAAATTGTTTTTAACTTTCATTTGATTTTATTTGAATAACATTATATAACAAGATATGTTAAATAATAGAAGGCAAGATATTTCTTACTTGTATGAACATATTTCGAACTATCGAAAGAAAACCAACACTCACATTTTCGGACTTGGATTTTTCCAATTGCCTATGTGATCTGATATTGATGACTACGTATACTCAAATGCTTGATCATTGTCGTGGTATTGGTAAATATATTCCTTAAAATACAATTCGCTTAATTGGCAATTAACATAATATATATTAATATACGCCAACATAATTAATGTTTTAATTAATTAAAACATTCTATTTTAGGAAAACTGAACGTAATACTAACTGCTCTTTTAGAATTTGCAGAAATTTGTATAATTTCTTTCAATATACCGCAAGCTAGAAAGCTTTTAAAAGAAAGCGAAGATGTCCTCGAAAAGGTATTGAAATTTCTAAAATTTCTTTTCTAAAAATTGAATATCTATAAAATTTCTTTCTTTAAAATTAATCGAAATACTTAATAAAAATAATATAATCTTATCTATCTAAAGCTACTTGAATCGAACGAAAATGAAATAGTCATTTTCCCCTATTTTGCTGCAAAAATACAAATTCTTCAAGGCCAATGTCTTCTTGAAACCGGTTCCATTTTTGAAGCTGAAGAATTATTCGAAAAGGCAATGTTCAATTTAGGGTATAAATTTCCAAAACTTGAAATGATGATCGATATAAATTCGATAATGCAATTATTGAATCTGAAATTAAAATTCGTTTTTATGAAAGATATTAAATATTTCGAAGAGGAATATCAGGATTATACTAAACAATTAGCAACATGTTTGATACAAATGTTTAAACTCTACAGGGTAAGTTGAGTTTTTTTTAAAATTATTTGAAGTTAGCACACATTTACGCTCTTATTGTATAGATTAAAGGAATGAAAAAGCACGCTCGTTTAGCAGCAATTTGGAGTTTGAACGCAGCTTTGGATCTATCTATTAAGGATACACGTACTCTCTGTATATCGCTCAGCAATATGTTAATCACTGCACATATGTATCAAGATAGGTGAGAATTTTTATAGCACGATAGGATATATATATAGGATATATATAAGATATACGATATTCTAACAATACGTTTTACTCAATTCCAGATATATCATACCTTATTTAGAAGAGAAGGGTATTCTTATTTCTAGTGAGAAGACAAGATTACTCGAAGCTCAGGAATTGAAAGTGATCGCCCGGCTTTATGCGGCAATATTTTTTTCTCGATGGTTAAGAGCAGACTGTGCGAAAGCCATCCACATTGGTTTCATTACTAATAGAATAGCCACTACGATTGGATCCACATCCTTGAAAATATTAATGCTACCACGATTAATTCATTTGTTATTATCGTCTTGCCGACTCTCGGAAGCAATCACTCAATTAAGAGAATTGGGTAATGATTTATTTACGATATTTAAATACCAGTTGTAATAAAATCATTTTTGTAAATGTTTTCCATGATTTTCTAGAATTTGTATCCCATGATCATTTTGATAAATCTGGACGTACTTGGTACTATGCACTTTGCGCTGACATTTATTTAGATACTGGAATGTCAATTATATCTTTTCAAATTTGCGAACAATATTTTCTTCATGAGGGCGAACGAATGATAAATTTATACAATCCAGAAGCAGAAAATCGATATTTCATATGCATGTGGTTATGGTATGCGGATATAAATTATTGTTCTTGTTGTTCTCTAAAAAACTGAAAAAAATGTATAATTGACATTAATTGATAAAAAAAAAAATTGGTTATATTTTTTTTAAAGGTGCATTAGAACTGAACAATGGGATGCTGCAAAAGTATGGAGAAATAGATTCATAGAAACCCCCATTATGGATGAACATATAGTAGTAGCAACAATAACTTTTTTAAAAAAACTCGAAGGGCTATTAATTCTTTATGGTATAAATTTTTATTAAAAGAATTTATTGCAAAATTATAAGATAATTTAATAAATTATATATTATTTATAATAAAATTTCATCGATATAGTGCATAAATTAAACACCAGAAATATAGCTGCAACTATTACTATGAGAGAAATAAAAAATATGTTTAAATATGCAAAAAAAGTGACCAAGATTGTTATAATTACAATTCCTAGGTATATAAAATTAATATTCCAATTATAAAATATATAAATAAAATTATGAAATTAAAAAAAAATGTTTGAAATTACAGATATATGTTATTAAAAGCATATTATTGGATGATAAAATCACAAAAAAGTAAAGCAATAAAGATGTTAAAAAAAGTAAAAAAAGTATGCGAAAAAATGGAAAATAAATTGATTCTTATATGGGCACAACATTGTGAAAAGGTTTCTTTTAATATTAGAAATAATACTTGTGTTTTCAAAATAAAAATAATTTATTAAATAAGAGAGAATCATTTGATATATTTTTTTTTTCGTTTAAATATAAAGAATAATGTTGTAATAATATATTGTAAAAATATTTAAAAATATATTTTCAGGTTTGGTTAAGCGGAATTTCTCCTCTACATACAGAAATGTGGAAAGAGATCTCGAAGATAAATAAGTGGGATGAAATCAATGCAAATAATTCACATATGATACTTTTTACTTTTCCTCTGCCAAACTATCTTTTTTTGTAATTTTTTATTATAATTATAATTATAATATATCTAATTTAAAATAGTTATAATATAATAATAAAATATATATAATATCAAAATATTACTAAAAACGAAATTTTTTTTATATGTATAAAAATAACTTCTTTTTATATTTTATATTGGAAGAATATATATATAATATTAAACTCACAATTATAATAAATATTTTCGATTATGATTCAATCAAAAAATCTATTATTAAGCAAAGATTTTCATCTTAATATAATAATCATATTAGAATTTCATTGATAATGAAAAATCCCATAATATCCCACAACAAATAATAAGATATTTATAATCCAATCTATATAACCAAAATATTCAAAAAAAATTTTGCAAAGTCTGAATTAAATTTGATATGCGCAATTCTTAGCTTGACATTGCTTTAAATAAATTGGAACTAATCATGCTTTGGAAAGCGATTCCAATTGTTAAGTCTCACTACGAAACGAGTGATTAATTTAAAAAAAAATATAATGTAAATTATTAAAATTAATTTTCAAAAAAAAATTCAGAAAGATTTAAAACATAAGGAAAAAATTTAACATAAAAATTAAATAAGTCTAAAAATAATATAAATATCAATAATATAAAAATTTAACATAAATGGATATAATAAAAATTAATCTTTTATGATCTTTGAATGCCAAAAATATTTTCTCAAAAACACTTACAACTATAAAAATTGGATAAAATAGATTCTATTAAGGTTTTTAATTAGTTAAATTAATAAACTAATGATGCAATAAAGTTAATCCGAAATCAGCACTGTTCTCACTAATAAAACATTTATTAAATGCAAAGTATGTATAACTTTAAATTATATACAAAATCGAATACTAATATCTTCGATAATGAAATTATACAGCGATCGAAACGCAATTGACGATTTCTTTCTATCGTAATCATAATTTCGATAGGCAAGATTGAATATCATAAATGGTACATAATTATCAATGGTAATTGATAATTATTTTTAGACTCAAACCAATAGTTTAAAATATAAAATATTTAAATATAATTTTTAAAATTCTATTTATATTTTATTAATTTTATATTATTAAATTTTATTAATTTATTTTATAACAGATTTTTTATTATAAATAACTATTATTTTATATAATATAATAATCATTTATTGGATTTAATAATTTTAAAAATATATTTTATTATTTTATTTTTATTATATTTTATTAGTATATATTTTTAATTTATTGTTTTAAGAATTTTTTTGTTTATATTAATTCAATTTATAAATTTTTCTTATTCAATTTAATTGCTAAACGTATAACAACGATCATATATTTTAAGTATTCCAATACATATAAGAAAATGTATTGGATATTATTATATAAAAAAATTTATAATATTATTTATATAATATATATGTAATATTATATATCTATATATCTATATAAAACATTATTATATAAAAAATGAAATTCGAAACAAATGATAGTAACAAAATTTCAATTTTTTTCTGAGTTTACTTTGAAATAATTGATAAAATTCTAGTATTAAAATAAATACAATATTATATAAATACATGATTAATTAAATATATATATGTGTGTATTATATAATATACATATATATATACATATATATATATATATATATATAATTCCAGCAAAAATAATTTATAAATATATAAATAAATATTATTAATACGTATATAAATAAATTTATATTAATTAAAAATGCAAGCTGCACCTTCATCCTCTTGTACATCGCCAGTATCTTCTGCATTATTTTTACAACCTTTGCCTCGTAATTCTAATATGGTATGTTTAAAAAATATATGTAGAGTCTAAAATTCCTATATAAATAAAATAATATTTCAACAGGTTTGTTATTCCACTATCCTTCCTTTTGTTCCCACAATGCCTAGAGGTTTTGCATGTTATTTTAATAAATATCGCCCATATACAACATTACGCAATGTTTGCACTTTTACTTGTCCTCCTTATAGTAAGTTTTTAATCAATAAACATAATGTAAAATAAAAAAATAATAATAAATTTTTTTCAGCATCTAGTGTATATAGGTGCTAAATAGAATTCTATAAATAAATAAATATTTACAAATAATTTAAATGATATTAGTTTTATGATATTATAAAATGCATAAAAAACCATATGTGAAAGTTATTAAATCCTGAAAAATATAAATGAAACAAATATAAATTCGTTTTAAATCATTTTATTTTAAATCATAATTTAAACAATATCTATTTTACATAATGCTTTACCATTCTCTTATTTTACTTTGCGTAGCATGTGTTAATATCCATGTGTTTTTTTCCTTTTTAACTCTTTCCACTTGATTATGTCTTGGTTTTTCTTTACATATTATGTATTTCCTATTATTCTTCCACATTAATAAACAATGTTTACATCTTCGGTGTAATAAAGTTTTTGTTTTTAAACCACATGTGAAATTATATATTGGTAGTAATGGTTGAAGTAATTTAGATGTAATTTTATTCACATGCATGCTTGAAAAATTTGAATATTGTTTATTACATGTTTGATGTATATTATTATTTATAATTCTTGTGAATGATTCCACAGATGACAATTTCGGAACAATAAATCCTATAGTTTGACAAGTAGTTCTAAATGATGTAAATATATTCATTGTTTCTAGAAAAATACATATTTATATAGATACGTTAAAATTTTATAGATTTTTACAATACAATATATTAAATAATTTGAAAAATTCTTACATCAAAATACAAAAAAAGATAACCTCAACTTTCAAACAAAATTTTATTAAATATTGAAAACAAATAAATTTACGATGATTTATAAATTATTATAAATTAAAATTTATAAATTAATCTTTTCTATCTCATAAAACTTTCGTATGATAAAAATCTACGTTTTTTTCTTACTTATTCTACTTATTCTACTCTTTCTTTGTTACCTTACTACCTTCATTTATATTATGATTACATAAAGCAGATTTACATGATTGCGAATAATAAAAACATTACAGATTATTCATATGTATTACATTAAATATATGTAGAAAATTATTTTAATTATATATTACAAGCATAATGTTTTTAATGCTACCAATAAATTTAGCTATGTAAAAAAAGCCATGTAAATAAATAAAACACATTGTATAAAGAAATAGCCTATTTACGTCGCACTTAGGACAAGTTAGTTTTGACTGCCATTTCATAAAAAATTCTTTGTAATTGGATTAACTGATTTGTTCGAATAGAAAGTTGAAGATGAAAAATGGAATATATTAAAAATTTCTTTGTGTAAAAAAAAATCTAATTAAAAGAAATAAAATATAACCTACAAGAGCTTAAAACAATTGTACGATAAATTAAATATTTAGACCAATTTTTTCAATTATCATACAATTGATGTAACTGTATTAATGAAAAATCTTTTTTTTTGATATTATAATAAGTTATGATAATAAATTTTTATTTAGGTTATGTTTTATTCTTTAATTTCTTAACAAAGATCTTTCAAACTACTCATTAGTTTATTATGTAAAGTATTATTTGCAGCAATATATATCCAAGTTTAATGATCATAATAAGCGTAAAATTATAAAAATGTTAAGAAAACTTAGTAATCTGTTACAAATTTTTGTAAGTATTTCAAAATATCAAATTATATGATTTAATATAGTTATTCACATTAATAATTTGACACTATTAACTATTAATTTTTAAACTTTTAAATATTTAATTTATATTTATAATTTTATATTTCAATCATTAATATCATTAAATTTATAGGTTCCTGGTCAAAAAGTAAGCAAGCGATATCTAAATTTTATACCTGTTGTTGTAGAACAAAGTGGAAGAGGAGAACGTGCATATGACATTTACTCGCGTCTTTTAAAAGAAAGAATTATTTGTTTAATGGGCCCGGTACTGCTTAATATATTTTTTCTTTAATTTAGTACTATAATTAATTCTAAATTTAATTTTAAAATTTTTAATTTATCATTAATTTTCAAGTTAAAGAATCAAAAATTTTACAGATCACAGATAATGTGTCTTCAGTAGTGATAGCTCAACTTCTATTTCTTCAATCAGAAAATAGTAAAAATCCAATTCATATGTATATTAACTCACCTGGTGGAAGTGTCACAGCTGGACTTGGTATATATGATACCATGCAATATGTTCTACCTCCTGTTGCAACATGGTGTGTAGGACAAGCATGCTCAATGGCAAGTTTATTACTGGCAGCAGGAACAAAGGGTATGCGCCATTCGTTGCCTAATGCAAGAATTATGACACATCAGCCATCAGGAGGTGTATCTGGTCAAGCTACTGACATACAGATACAAGCTCTAGAAATATTAAAGCTTAAAAAGCAAATTAATAATTTATATGTAAAACATACAGGTTTAGATCTGGAAAAAATAGGTATGTTAACTTGTAAAAACATATTACACAAATCTTTATAATATATTATAAATTTACAGAACGATGTATGGAAAGGGATAATTTCATGAGTCCTAAAGAAGCAAAGGAATTTGGAATTATAGACAAAGTACTATCACACCCAATGCAAGAGGATGAACCAGATAGCACTAAAGCTGTTCTTGAAATTTCCACTCAACCTTAATTAGGATTAAATAAAATATGCTTAAAATTATGAAATTTTATTAAAACATGTATTTATCAATATTTAAAAATAGTAATAAAATATTTTTAAAACAATTTATATCATGTATATAACTTTAAGTATAGCAAATGTGTCCATGTTTTGTAAATATTATGTAAATATATAACATACAATAATGATTTCATATAAATGATGAACATAAATGTATTGATGAAAAATCAATCATATCACTTATATATTATTCATCAGGCAAGCAATATATCACCAAGCATTCTCGCAATATGCTAAAAATATATAATGCTATAATTGTAGGAAAAACTACATGAAATTATGGAAGACAAGATTTTGTATCAAAATATAATAAAATATAATTATATAATATACAATTAATAATTAATTTTGACTCAAATGATCTATCCTGTATCGCAGTTTATAATGGCAGTCACGCGCTTAAAGCATTCTTAAAAATTAAGTTTATAATTTTATTATTATTCTATTATCACCAAAAATACTTCATAAAAAGGACGGAATTAATTATCTTACTGTTAAACAACAATAAAATATTTCACAATATAGTGACATTATATGTCATTAAAAAAATATATATTCCCCTAATACCAGTTTTTGTAAAACTGGTTTTTTTTTTTGTGTATTAATTGCACAATTGTTATGAGAATCACTGAGGACATACTTGAGCATGTGCAAGCATTAATATATCTTTTTTCTCTTTAGGAAATCTAAGTTCTCTTCCAGCTAAACGTGCTGCTTCAAGTTCTCTTTCAGCCAATGCCAATTCCATAGCAACAACTCCGCCACCGCTTTCATGTTCTCTTGCTACCCAATCTAATGCCATTTGGCTACGCATATCATCATCTAAAGCCCGATGGCTATAATGAGCAACTACTTCTTGTCTGCTGCATTGCCTTTCTCTCATTGCTTTCAAAGATCCATTCCAATGAAGTAATTGAAAGACTGTCATTAATTCTTGAAATTCTAGCATCGTTCTTCCACGATTACATTCCAACATAAAACGAAATGCACCTATACCTGTATTTGGATCTTCTTTCTCATCTCCATTTCCCTAAAAATTGAATAATTTAATGCAATATTTTAATTCTCATGAATAATAAATATAATTCAGAACATACCTGTGCTTGATTACCAACACCATTAGAAGTTGCAGAAGGTTTAGCAAAGCTAGCTCTTGCTTCTGCAACAGCTTTTTCTATGAAATCATCAGTTATTTTACGAGCTGGATGTTCATTGAAAACAGAATTCATCAAAGCAATTTTTGCTGCTGATCTACGAGCCTCTGCTTTAGTGGGACAATTTTGAAAACTACCAAAACAAGAACCTCCAGGAAGAGTTACATAACATACATAAGGTGGACTAGTACCAGGCACAGATTCATAAATAACTAATGCTCCATTTCTTAACTCTGTTCCTCTGCTTTGTTTCATTTGCCAAAATTCTTGCAAAGCTTCAACCACATTTACTATAATAAATACAGAATAAAATAATATATGTATATGTAAAATTTAATATTAATTAAAAAGAAATATTTATAGATATTTATACCTCTTCCATAACCTTGAGTATGTTTAGCAAAGCTGTTAACAACTGCTTCCACTGCTTCCTTTAATACTTGTTTGTCTCTGGCATCTACTAATCCACCTGTGATACCCATATTTTCAGAAACACGAGATTTTGTTTTAACTGGCATTATGCCCTGCATCACCTTTCAAAAATTCACGTACATTTACGTCCTACAAATGTAATTATTATTTCTAATTGTATAAATTGAATAATAAAAAAACTTCAGATTAAAAAAATAATTGTAAATAAAGTATCAATGAAAATTTTAATTCAATATTGCAATTAAAAATTAAATAATTATAAAAAAAAAAGTAAATTGATAATATAGAAAACTTTAATTACATACGTAGCTAAAGTCAACGAAATAATATTAGTAAATGACAAGTCTTGAATGTTATACGAGCAAAGAAACAGTGAAGCAATTGCTGCGATACTGAACACATCAGACGTGAAAAGAAACTCTGATGGCCCACCTGCAGAGACCCGGATGCCCAGGAATTCGCGTAAATTACTCTCCGATCGAGCGCTACGGGATCAAATTGCAATACACATATAACGCGTTTAATGGCCCCACTGACGACTTCCAGAAAACCAGGGCTGTCTACCTTGATCAAGTACCCCATGCTACGGTGATATTATCACCGAGGATTGCCAACTGATTATCAATATTCTCTATCAAGTACAGTATCGGATTTTAAGAATATAGAACCCATGATCAAATATATTTGAAAAAAAGTATAATATTAAAGAAAATATATACTCAATAATAGAATATTATTTTAAATTGATCTGTCATTTTATCTTACTTTAAAAATATATAGATATCTATTAAAAATAATGCATAATAATGAAGTTATATGTTAATTATATAAATGATAAATGTTAAAAAATATATTTGTATAATTTTCAATAGTAATATAAAATATACTTTAAATATATTAAATTTTAATATATTTAAAAGATATATATATATAATATAAAATATAAATAATCAATACATACATAAAAAAAAAAAATATAAAAACAGCGTTACAAATGTTTAAGATAGATAGCTAACTAGTGCTTAAGTTACACAAGTGAATAAAGCGCCATATGTTATTATTAGGAAACTATAATGATCAGTTGATAAAAAAGAGCGACATAAAAAATGATAATCATAATTATCATTTTTTCATATTTATTATTTTTACAACGAAAATGAATTTATCATCTTACAAGACTTTGCATCTTATATTCTGAAATACCGATTGTACAAAAAATCAATAATTTTTTATTATGTCTCCTATATACTTCAAAAAAATATTTAAATTTTTAAATATAAAATTGAAATCTAACAATTATACATACATTTGTACCTAATTTTAAAGTTTGTAACAATAAAAATTACAATATTAATTATTGAAAATTATGCATGATCATAACTTCTTGAGTTTTTAATTCAAATCAATATTTAAATTTTTGAATATTTGACCTATCACGAAAAATAAAGAATTAAAATTTGCAATTCATTAATAATAAAATATTTATACAATTAATGACTGAATATAATTTAAATCTCTAAATATTGTTTGATTTTTCTGCTCCTCAAATTCTGCAACCCGCTCTACAGCGTGTCTGTTTTAACGTACGAAGAATTCTATCTATAATCACTAAATATTATTTTATATTTTTATTATATTTATCATTTTAATTCTATAGTTATATTCATTCAAAATTGTAAAATCTAGTAAAAAATTAAAAATACTTTTACTGCTAAATGCTGGTTGTGTTAAAAATATTGTAATACAATTATGTTGTTAATTGATATATTTTACAATTATAGAAACTATATATATATATATATATATATACACATATAGAATGTAATGTTCAATAATTTTTTTTTTAATTTCAATTCCAATCTAATTTTATTTTTATATAAATCTAATATTATTCTTTAATAAACTGATAATATTGAAAATGAAAAAAGAAAACCTAAAATAGTAAAGAAAATAATTTTAGAAAAAGTTACTGAAAAAAAATTGTATTAGATGTTAGATCTATTCTGAATCTTGTTTTATACTTCCAAATTATTAACTTTAAACTTTATCATTGGACAATGCGGAATTTACTTTTAAATTTATTATTTGTTAAAATTAATATGTGCTATTAATACGTATAATTTTAATATTTATATAAACTATAAGTATAAAAAATAAGAATTTTTTGCATTTATTGATTTCTAAAATTTATATTGTATATAAAAGTCATAAAATTTTTAATTTTTTGTATGATCGGTATATTAGAATATGAACATGAAGTTTCATAGGGTGATAAATCTATCTTATACTTCATCTCTGACAAAATATAGTGCCTAATATAGTATTCTAAATTACAGAGGGCGCAAAACAACCATTGATTTTATAAGATCAGTATTTCAGTTCATATAATATTATTCTACAAGATGTTAAATCTACATTATATTTTATCTGTGATTACATTAAGAGAATTAATTTTTTGTTAGTTTTTTTGATTCAGATTGATATTAATAATATGTGAATGATTATAGATATATTATTTTAATAAACAAACAAATATTTTATATTAAAATATAAATATTTTTAATATAATTAAATAAACAATTTATATATTTAAAAAAACATTATTAATTCATAATATCTAAAGAACTATAACAAAAAATTTTGTCTTATTATTTTTATGTTTTATAATTATAACTTAATGTTCAAAGAAGAAACAATTTACGCGCGTATATTTCCCGCGTGGTCAGGGCGTAAGTGGATGCATGCATTGATACATGTGTGTGTGTATAGTAGATCAGCTGAGCGCCAGCTGTGCTCTTCGCTGCGACCAATAGAAATCGCTTATACTAATGCACAGCAGCGCCATAAATACACGACCGGTGCCTGCAGGTTTGGCGTTCCCGCGAAAGTAATTTGTAAACTTCACTTCGTAATTTAAAAGTATTATTTTATATGTATATAGTTGTTTTTACATGATTACAAAGCTATTGTAGTTTAATTATATACAATGTGTTTAAGTGTAATAATATTTTTTCATATTCTTTGAAAAAGTTGTGTTAAAATCGAGCGGGAAACGTAGTTGCGCAGAACGCGTGGGTGCTGTGATTCCTTGGATTTATGTATCAACTATATGTAATATTTAGTGTTTTAGTACGAATGTATCGTGTTATTCGAATAAAATATACTTCCCCCGGTTAATGGATAGTGATTTGTGCAATTTTTTATAATATTTTACTTCGTAAAAACATAATAAGAACAAGGCATCTGTCAAAGGACGCCAACGTTGCACCACGATTGTGTAGTGTTTAAATTCAATGTATATATATATAAGTAATGATATTTATGTGTTGAAATTAAATGATAGAACTTCGAAGAAGCTATTTAGTTAAAAATTTAGAATTTTTTTGCCCCTTTGAGGTTATGTTATACATATAGAGGGCGTGACAGTGGCAGATTGCAAGCAGGGGTTGGTCATCGTTTCGCGCGCTGGTCTCCCGCGCTTCGAGTTCCACGTCCCGTATTTTTTTGAAGAATTACTGTTCTGTGATATCTCGAGGCTTGAAATTCTATCAGAAAAGACTTTAAAGACTTTTCGTATTACAAAACATTTTATAAATAAAAAGTTATGACATAAAATATTGAATCAAACGAAGCCAAGTATACGTGCATTATGGCGATCGGGTGCGTGTGAGCTTTGCGCGCTCTTTTACTTTTCGGCATTTTCTTAGCAAAATTACTCAGCATATATTAAAATAATTAAGTGAATGCTTAAATAAAATATTGATCAATTTGTGTTCATATTAAAAAGGTCCATTCTCGTTCGAAATATTTTTTGAACACGTCGACAATTTCAGAGCAAAATGCCACAGACGAGGTGAGCGAATAACTTTCTATTTGGTCTTAAAATTTAATTCAATTCTTCCAATATTTCATCAAAAACATATAAAATTTATTTAAAATAGATTTAATTAATCCAAATAATTTTCTAAGCTTTCTAATTAAAAAAAAAAATTGAGAATTATGTATGTATAACCTTCTTTACTTAATACTTACCATTTAGAAGGTTTAATAATGTTATATGAATAATATATATATGAATTTTTATTTTATGATTTCCTAAATTCTTTGTAAACATGTACAATAAATTATAATATATCTATGCAATATACATAACTTTAAAAAAATATTAGACGTTAATTAAGACGTAATTCTGTTACCTTCCAAAAATATTTTTACTTGCTTTACAAAGATATGGAATTTTTTTGTTCATTACAAAAAAGGATTTTAATATTATTATGATAATCTCAATATAAAATAATTTTTTTTTTTTATTTAATTTTGTCCAGTTTACATGGGAAAAAATCACAGACTTATTTACAAGGTGGCAAACTAGTAACACAGTCTTCAAAGCGTAAAAGAAGAGCAACAGATATTTCTGAAGATTCAGAAAATGTATATCCACCAAGTAAAATACCAGCATTATCACATGTATCATATACAGAGTCTTGTCATACAGTACATCCTTTAGAAAATTCATGCACACAACATCAAATATCTCCATTGAAAGAACAACAAGAGCCAGCTACATGGTCTGAATTAAGAACTTCAACATGTTTTCTAACACCATCATCTTCTAATAATACATCAAATAGACCAAGTCCTTTACCATCATTTCCTTGGGCTGATGGTTCTCAAGTTTGGTCTCTTATGTGTTTGGGAGATCAAAAAACTATTACTCAAAGGAATCCACAAATGTTTCAAAGGCATCCAACATTACAGCCAAGAATGCGAGCAATTTTGTTAGATTGGTTGATTGAAGTTTGTGAAGTATACAAACTACATAGAGAAACTTATTATCTTGCAATGGATTACATAGACAGATATCTATCTATTCATCAAAATGTACCCAAAAATCAATTACAATTAATAGGCATTACATGTCTTTTCATAGCTGCCAAGGTTTGTATGTTTCAAATTTCAATGTTTATGATTTTCAAATAAATAAATAAATGATTTTTAAATTAATAATTAATTATTCTTTTTATAGGTTGAAGAAATTTATCCACCTAAAATAGCAGAATTTGCTTATGTTACTGATGGAGCATGCACAGAAGAAGAAATCTTGGGAAAAGAATTAGTGATTTTAAAAGGTCTTGGATGGAATTTATCTCCAGTAACTGCTCCTGGCTGGTTGAATATTTATATGCAAATTGAATCAGGCGATTGGTCAAGACCAAATGCATTTATTTATCCACAATATGGAGGTTTACAATATTCTCAGGCAGCTCAATTATTAGATTTAGCTACATTAGATGAAGGAAGTTTAAAATTCCCTTATAGTCATATAGCTGCAGCAGCTATTTATCATACACAAGGAAGAGAATGTGCTTTAAGAGTATCACGCATTCCATGGGAGCAGCTTGCACCTTGTGTCAAATGGCTTACTCCATTTGCAATGACAACTGCTGAAGAAGATTCTCAGTGCCTTTTAAGATCTGCAATAACACCTGTAGAGTCTCATTCTGGATCTGGACTTAAAGCAACAGTGCCTAATATAGTAATGGATGAATCACATCGTATACAGACTCATGTTGTAGATTTAAACATGTTAGAAAAGGCACAGCAACGATTAGTGGATGAAATACCTTCTACTGATACAAATGAATCTGATTCTAATGTTGAATCTGGTAGACAGAGTCCGAATGAAAGTGGTCTTTTAACTCCACCTTCTAGTAGTCAAAAAAATTCAACTACACCGTCACGTCCTCCACCACAATTACATCCATATACGTAATCAAATATTTATAAATATTTCATAGTCTTTGATTAAGCATTTCATTTACTAACTGCTGGTGAATGATTTTAATTAAATATAGTAATGTATTATATATGTTTTTCGGGAAATATCATTAACTGCTTCAAACAGTTTTGCCTTTTGTAAAGATGCACAATGTATTATTAAGCTATGGGATTGCATAAGTGCACGGTAATGACAGAATATACTGTATGTTATCGTAAATAATATGGTGCTTCCCAATATATCATCATGTAATAGTAAAACTTATAGTACAAGATGTTAATCACTTTCTATAATAATGTCCATAGTGATACTGAATTTATTTAATATTATTTGTTTTATTGTGAACGTTTAAAAGAAGTGCCTTGCATAGAGGAATGTAAACTTACATGAAAGCCTATGGCTATCTTCTGTGATTATATTCATGCAGTGAAACTTGATAATACATTATATTAAAATTTTAGGATAATTACCATTTTCATAAATCTAGACAATATTAATGTCTGCGAAAAGTGTCCTTAAAAATAATATTTTTATTAGTACTAAGATAAAAAAAAACATTGTGAATAGTATTCTTTTATATATTTTGCTTTATTTTAACGCAACGTATTATAACAATGCGTTATTAAGCTGGGTGAATGTATTTTTATGTATATGTATACTGTGAAGTACTAATAATTAAAAAAATAAAAAATACAGACGAAGGGATGAATGCACGAGTGAAGATATAAAACTATTAATTATTAAAATATGATTAAAAATTTCGTGATCAATTTACACTGCCTTGCATATAGAGACACGGCTGTTTATACATATTTGTATGAAAAATTTGACAATAAATATTTGTAAATCCGATCATTAATCATATAATTCTTATTATAAAATAAACAAAAAATATGAAATTTATTCATTATTTATTTATGATATAAATTATTAAACTTACGATGATCGAATGTTGAAATCGATATTATCGACCATAAAAAAAAAAAGTAACGTGGCGCCACAAGCGTTCCCTCTAGAAATATAATAATGCAATATGATTGGTTGATGCGTTTACATTCAAGTTGTCAAATGCCAGACGGCCGTTAAGAAAGCGGTTGCGTGTTTAACGTTGTAACAGTGAAGATATTGTGAAATGTATGCGCGTAATTTCAACAAAACGTAGTCATTTTCTTGTTTTAATATTATATTAAATCCGAGTTTTACAAAGTTTATATTTATCGCGAATATATGTTCGAAAAAATTCGTGTTTTTTCATAACGTTGAACAAGATGCAGTGTGAATGCTAATATTAACAATTATTAGTGTTCGTTCGTTTAACTTGTTTACAATACATTTCATTACTCAATTTAATTTTTATCATATTTGCTATTATAAAGCATAACGACGGATGTATTTAATAAAATTATTAAAGAATTTGTATTAAAATTGTGAAATATCAGGATGTCAAATCCAAGGAACATTAATGGTTCGGTTCGTGAAGGAACTCGAGTAGTACTTCGTGAAATCACTGCATCTCTTCATAATTGCAAGGTATTTATGTTTTTCTTACAAATGATAACGTTTTGCCAATGCGCATGACAATGAACTTTAAGTCAACATATTCCGCGTTCTTATCAGTTGTCTTTTTTATCCGGTTGCTTTTGCTCTATGTTTTTATTGCAAACAGTCGTATCAAAGCATCCCTATAAATAAACCTTGAATCTCCAGGAGCACCTTGAAACGAAAATAAGTTTTGCTTCCCCGTGTGGGAATATCTTTCTTTAACATCTAAAAAGAACGAACGAAAAATGCTTACTTACAATTTCATATATATAATATAATTTAAATATATTTGACGGATATATAATTATATATAACTTGCAGATATAATTTCTATCATTGCTGAATGGAAAAATTAAAAAGAATATAATTAATATTTAATATATTATTATATAATATTAGGTTATTAATCTAAAGTTTTTATAATATTTTATATTCTTTCTTGTACATGAATCAGAAACTAGTTTGTCATCAGTAATATAAAAATAAAACCGGTTATTATAATTATTATAAAAAAATAATATATGCTCTATTTACATTTTATATTTATAAATATATTAATGGATATATAATAGTATATATTCATATTTTAGAATATTTCATGATTTTATATTCTTATATTCTTTTATTCATATGATTTTATTAAGTTTTCTTTAAATATTTTCTTAATTTTTTTCTTAATTTGGTACAAGATTTGATCATGATCATGTCAAATTTAATGTACAATTTTCTGCAAAAACAGTATTGATTATATTCAAGATTAATTAATTTATATATACATATTGCAAGCAATAATTACACTGATTTCGAAAAAATAACTATTCAAAGAATAGTTTTTAGAATCATAAAAAAAAACGATATAATATATCATTTAGTTTTCATAATATCTTTTCAATTTTATCATTTTTTTCTTTATTCTATTTTAATAATATCTAATTTTTTGTTGATTCGAACATTTTCTCATTTTTTATCTACTTAGCATCGAATGTTTGAGTATCTACATGTCACTCCAGATAGCGCCACACCATCATACTATTCGATATCATGAATTGTGTCCCACCACTTCCATAGTTGGTGATCTTTGTAGCATAATGCCCGTGTGGCGTGTGCGCGGTTCGACGTTACGACAGCGGCCTACAAGCAGCAAGTGTTAGTTACGCGTATCATCGGCAAGACGGTGGCCATGACTCTCACATCATTGATCATTCTTTACAATCTAGAAACAGTTCGCTCCATGCTGGACGCGATTTAGTAAAACGTTCCTGACGGATTAGCAGAATCGCATATCTCGAAAGGTGAGGCGCTTGTATTTTGGCAGCATCGTCGTGTTTCGTCATTTTACATTTACACACGCGTACAGATATGGTCGCGTGCCATCGCAAGAAATCTGTGGTAGTGGTGGATATCTAGAGTATCGACTGGAGAATGTAGTGCACTAATATTAGAATTTCAACCAGAGATATCCTTCATTGATTATTAGGCTTGGTGAGTGTCTTCTGATAAATCTTTCCTATAGAGACTAAAGATAAACAGAAGACGATGATCTATTGTCTCAGACCTAGTTTCGCATTATTTATTTTTAATGCTATTTTCTATCAAGTGAAGGTTTATAGAAAAATAACATTTTATTTTTTTCTGGATTCAATTGGAATCGATGTTGAAGATAGCTTTTAAAGAAATAGAACGGAAATATAGGGTTGAGAAAAAGAAAAAGAAAGAGACACACCCCTTGAAAAAGAAATGTCTGTGATTCTCTCTGTCATCATAAGATGGGAATGAGTCATAGGGATAATACGTGTTGCGGTCTCGATAATGTCAAGAATACTCCGAATAAGGAGACTACGAGCTTCTCGAGTTTCGAAGGAAATTATATTGGTTTGCTCGCTTGAACGCTTCGTATACGGTGAGCTCAAGCGAACACATTCACTTTATATTATAAGTTTAATAAGCAAGGAAACCATGATATAATAATTATCAATAACATGCTACGGTTTATGGAAATATTTTTATTATTTAACATGATTAAGATCGAATAATTAATGATTTTAATGTCAAATATACAAATTTTAAATTATCTAGATAATTATATTATTTCACAAAATAATCTATAAAAAACGAAACTATTTATATATTTTTTTATATTTCTTATTAAAAAGACGAAGAAAATAAATATTAAACATATTGCGTATTTATGATATTATCTAAATATGAGATATTTTATACATTCTTTAGAAAATTATGTGTCTGTTTCAATTGATAAAATGCATGACGTTCAAAATGTCATTCGTTATCGGTTTATCTGAATGATGTTTTTACTCTAGTATATTTCTACAATCGTTCAGTCAGCATTTTTCAATGTTTCTATATTTTTTTAAATCGATTTTCCGCGAATCTATAATCGAAGTTATTTGCGTCATATTAAGAAGGACGTGTTTCAAATAAGCAAAAGTTTTAAAATATTCTCAATGTTTTCAAAACTTTTTGAGAAAATAACTTTATTTTAAAATTATTTTTACATATATATTAGTACAAATTCAATTATTTATATTATAAATTAGCATTCATTTTATTTTTCTGTATCAATCTATTTCATCAATCTATTTCCCAATAATCTTTAATTAAAGATGTTAAAAGTTAATTATCATATTGTGTGTTAGCCTTCAATGTTTTATAAAATTATTATCATATTTTACACATTGTTTTATAAAATTATTATCATATTTTAATTTTAAACAAGATTTATATTCTTTTTTAATTTATATGAAAAAAAATATCACAATTATTATTTTCATGAATATGATATATGTGGGTTATATTAATTTATATTATCTTTCATAAATATTTTTCATTTCATGTAAAGATATAAGAAATATAATTAAAATATAATAGTATAATAAAATATAATAGTATAATAGTAATATAAAAATATATCATAATGTGATAAATAATAATATATATGATTATGAATAGTATATGATTATACACAGTCAAATATATTCCGTTCAATTAACTATCTCAATTATTTATGATCGTATTATTATTATATATTGTTTGTTATAGAATATATAATTAAATAATAATGTATTGGAAAAAATATAATTCATATGCAGCGTAAACAATTATATAATTACAATGAAAGCAACATGGGAGATTAAAAAAAGCATCAATATTCATATAATTAATGACTTATTCCATAAAAAAAAAAAATATATAATTTAAGCAATAAATGCATAATGGTTAGTGTGTTAGATTAATGCGCAGTTTATATATTCTACTTTCTAAATGCATCTGTTTTCCATGAAAAATTGATCCATCATATTCTGTCCGCGATTTGTTTTCAAATATTTAATCAAATCAAAAGCAAACATTTATACGATAACTTGGTTTTTTAATCAAACGCAGAAATTGTAATTAAATATAATTATGACATAATAAAGTAAATTTATACTTCATCTTTATTTTTTCTCGTTTCGAATGAAATTACATACTGAAAATTTTTCAGAATAATTTGGGCAACTCAATTTTATTACATATAAGAAACAAGTAGACTAGAGAGAGTGAAATCTTTTTACATCGAATAATTGAAACGAATGTTAGTTATATCTTAGAAAAATATCATTGAATTAACAAGTTCTTCGAAATCAGTAAATCTTACGTTTAATAAATCCAAGAAAATATCTGATAGAAATTTGTTAACCGAATGATCTCATTCGCTTTCTGATCAAATGTTCGAGACTATAAAAGGTGAAAATAATCCGTATTATCGAGAGTTTTCTTTCTTCTCTTGGTGAAAGAAGGATCGGGCGGAAAGGAAATCGTCCGAGAGAAGGCCGAAGAAAAAATACACGGGACCGCGAAAGGGTGAATGATAAACGAAAGATGCGTTGTATCGTCGGAAATAAACGTGTCAGGGGTGAGGATATATAGGCGGGGAGAAAGAAAGAAAGTTCACTACGTGGGGTTCTGTGAACCCGCGTGTAAATATGGCCTCATATTGGCCAGCAGTGACAGCCGAAAGTGGAGGTTATTTGGGAAGTCATGGGGAATTTCATCTTTAAGGTAATCTTCGTGAAACATCTATTTCTAATTACAGAATTACCAAAAATTCTATTCCATTAAGTTTAAAATAACAAACTTACTCACTTTATCAAATTTTGTAAAAAATTACCACAATTTTAAATTTGGTTTAAGCAAATCAAATACATCAGTCAATAGTCATCTCTATTCTGCATTTAACTTTCTATTTTATTCGGCTAACTATACTATAGAAAAATTAATAGATCTAGACTTATCTAGACTTATTTCACTGGTTTTCTTCAGTAGTATAAGGTATAAAATTTCTTTCTTTATCTTCTTTTATGAAAAGTTTGAAAATTTTTTATCCAAGATCGTATATTTTTCTGAATCGTAAAAAATTTTATGCAAAAATTTTTCGCTCTTGAAATTAAATTTAAATTAAAATTGAAATGAACATTTTGTCGATGATTCAATAATTTAACTTTTCACCGCGAAACACGATCGCGCCATCATCGATACGATCAGAGAGATTCTTTTTTATCGCGGGACACGTCTACTCATAACTGTTCTTGGCATGGATTCGCATGCGAGACTGGCACAAGATCTGGTAAAACAAAATCTGGTCTCCTTCTCTTCGTGACGTAGCCCGCGTTATATTTTATAATTAGTCTGAGCAACGAAGAAGTTGCGCAATTTCTGAAAGAAATCAGCAAGTCTCGACACCAAAATCAGCTGATGCAAATTTTCTCAGTGAACGAAAGGACTGTTCATCGAACACATCTATATTCTACATTTGTTTCATAAAAATATGGAGTATATCAATAAATTGCTTCATCGAGCTGTTGCAATCCCAGCAAGGACATCGATGTCGCCATCACCATTGCCATCGCCCACGCCGCCGGTATTTTGTGTCTAACTAGTGAAAAGCTTGATTAATGCGCATCTTGTCGTTTGTGAATTGGCAAGGGTAGATGTAATTTCTTTAAGCGCGTTCAAGCGTAAGCTTTAACGGAAAATTTCGCGTTAATTAATGTGAATATGAGGCTTGAAGATTTTGAAAGATTTTAGAGTTGATTTAGAAAGATTGTATTATCATTATCGTGATTCATTCGTATCTTTGAATTTTTTAGAAAACTATCTAATAATTTTTGCAAATTTTTAATAATAAAAAATCATTTATAGAATTAGCAATTAATGACTTATTTTTATCGTTAAAAGTGGTATATTATAATTTTTTTAAAAATCAAAAAAAAAAGATGAATTATAAAATGAATATAACATGTAACATTTATATTAATAATGCATCTTTTTTGTTTTTTAGAGCGGTACCGACAATTCCGTGTCGAAGAGTGCGGAGCATGAGGTGAAAGTTCGATTTGCTCGAGAGTTCGCTGATGTTGGATCGATCACCTACACGAATCCAGAAAGTCTATCCTCATCTAGCAGTTTTCAGAGTCTCAATAGTACTTTAAGTACAAAGAGTAGCAGCGGTATCTGTCCAGATTCTGTACCTTCGAGCCCTCAGAATAATTCTTATGTGAATTCAAATATATCTGGCTTGGACGATTTGATTACCGGTTGTGCGACAATACATTTAAACAGTGAGGACGAACATTCATTTAGTACACTTGAAAATTCTCAGGATTTCAGTCAAGATCAAACATTCGCATCTGCCACTGATGAATTAGCAGCTAATGACACTAAAAATCTCGCAACTGAGATCTCATTGACGGATGATTTTCAAAAGACAGTTGAAATCGTCGAAAACAATTTAGAGACTCATGAATTTGTAGACTCACCAATTAATACTACACAAAATATACAGGAACGATCTCTTTTAGGTACAGTTTGCATCAGAGAACCTCTTCCTGTAGCAATTGTATCAAATAGGAGAAATAGTTTTATACAAATAGATATAGAAAGATCTCCTAAAAACAATAATAATTTAAATAATCATCAAGCCAATAATAGTTTTAATGGCGATGATGAGGCTTCACTGTCACAATGTCATAATACAGAGGAATCTAATTTAAATTCGACATTTGTATGTTTATCATCCAGTAAAGAAATCACAGATGTTACTAAAGAAGAAGGATCTAGTATATTAAAGAATAACTCAAGCGAAGATCATTCTTTGCCTGTGGATTTTCTACCTTATAACATTGTAAATTCTGTATGCAATTCAACTTCTGTGTTCGCGGAATATGGTGAAGAACCGTCATTACCTAGTATACCGACGTTTTCTTCCTTACTGACCAGTACAGAGTCCTCGAAATTGAATGTAAGCGATACTCAAGAAGTCGATGATAATGTAAAAAATTCATTGGCAAATAATTCTAATGTAGCAATAAATATATCTTCGCACTCTGAAGTGACAAATTCCATTCAAAAATTAGAAAATAAAAATAATAATTTGACAGAATCAGATTCACTGAATTTTTCTAATAATGTTGTAAACGATGAGCAAATTTATTTAAATAATATTTCTTCTGTTGAATCAAAAACGCCTGAAGTTCAGGAAAATTTAACTAAAGATATTTGTCAAGAAATTGAAAATAACGATATTGTTAAAAACGTCAATCTTTCTTCGCCAAAAGAAGATAGCTTCAAAGTAAACGATATTGCTTTTCAAAAGAAAGAAGAAGGAACTATTATCTCAGATGATTGTTTTGATAAGAAAAATGTGAATGATTCGAGTCAGACAAATGTAATAAATTTTTCTATAAAAGAAGAAGAAAATCAGGAAATAGAAAAACACGGGTCTTCCGAAGAAAAGTTAGATACTACTATTACTTTACAAGATGTTTCTTTGACTTTAGAAACTGTATCGGAAGTAGAACAATATACGGATTTTAAACCGCAACGACAGAGCACATCATTAGATACGTTTAACATTGAGCAGCCAAATTTCGAAGAACTGAAATCTGCTGCTGAACAAGTCGCCAATGATATTTTTCAATCTTCATTGGAATGTTCAGAAGATAACAATCCCTTCGTTAGTGCAACATCTGAAAGTAAGTGTTTTTTAATATGAAAATTTTCAAATATCGATAAATATATTAATAATTTAAATTAATATTTATTAATAATTATTATATATCGTAGTCTTTCAAGATCCTACGAGTTTCGACTTTTTGACAAATTACGACAACAAGAAAACTATTAATCGCTTCAGAACCGATTCTTTGTATGTAAAATTTGATCCATTGGTAGCTGATACCAGTATGTTACCTCAAGGTAATACACAATCTATAAACGAGGAACAAAACGGCAAAAGTGAAAATATATCAGAAAATATTGATATATCTAAACGTAATCCTGCTATAGCAGCTATCGATAGATTACTTTTTTATAGTCCTGTTTCTACAAAAATGACACAGAAAACGAATGAAATTCAAGAGAAAATAGCAATCAAAGTATGTATTTTATATATTTGCTAATAATATTACTAGATAAATATACATAAATATTTTTTATTACATAGGAAGAATCTGTAGAAGAATCGAAATCCGATACTTCACTTATTATCGATATTAATATGAGTAAGGAATTAGAATTAGTACGGACAACTGTATTGCAATTAGAAAAAGAATTAGATAAACAAAAAAAAGAATATGAAGCTGAGTTAGAGAAGCAAAAGAATGAGAATTTTTCTTTTCAAGAAAAAATTAATAAATTACAAGCACAAATAGCACAAGAAATAAAAAGTAAATCTCAAATGACGTAAGTTATATGTTGTTTATTTAAAACTTATAAAACATATAATAATATTAAAATAATAATATAATAATAATAATATATAATTAAATATATTATTTTGGAATATTTTTAGTGTTGTAGTTGAAGAATATGAAAAATCGATTAGTCGACTACTCACGGAAAAAGAAAGGGATCGTACGAATTTTGAACAAGAGAAAGCAAAACTTCAAGAAGAACTACAAGTTGCAAATGTTCATTTAAACAATACAGAGGCCGCTTTTAATGATGTTCATCAAAAGTATGAGAGGCTTAAAGGAGTTGTATCCACATGTAAAAGTAATGAAACATTATTAAAAGAAAGTATTCAGGAAAATATGGAAACGATAAAATGTTTGGAAACGCGATATGATCAATTGAAGAATCATGCTATGACCGAACTCGAAAAGTAAGTATCAAGAAAGAAAAAAAAAATTAAAATACTTTAATGTCTTTAAATTATTTCAGAGCTAATTTTGAATTAGATGCTATACGAAAACAACATGAAGATGAAACAGTGAAACTTCATGCAATGCTAAGGAAAGCAGAATTAAAAAGTAATTCATTGGCTGAATTGGTTGAACAGAAAACTAAAGAAAATAAAGAATTAACGCAAATATTGGATGAAGTGATTGCCAGGGTGGGTCATCAAAATGCGGAATAAAAAGTCGAAGATTAAACAAGCATCGCGAATGCGATTAGTCTTTATTTTTTTACTCGTCCCTTAAACGTTTTAGATACAATCAATACTAATTATGATTGATGTATATGTACACATGTGTTGTTTTTAAAATTTATTAATTGCAAATTATGTTTTGTTTCAGAGAAGCACCTTTTATTAATTATTTATAAGTTGTGAAATATATATATATATATACTATTTTATCGCTAATAAAAAATAGGTATATTAAAAATAACCTTTTAGTTTATGTTTATGCAGTAAAAAATATCTTGATATTCCATAAACAATTCTAACATTCACACGTCACACATTAATGTTTTATGTGATTTGTTATAATACATTTTAATACAATATCTCACTATATTCAGATAAATAAAAATCACTGATTATATATATATTATCTCTACATATAAATACCAATGTATAATCATTGATATTTCTGTGATAAATAATATATTTTGCGCAAAGTTATGTAAAAATTTTTTCATATACTATATTAATGAGTATTGTTAATCAGTTGGTCTTGCATCAATTACAAACAAAACATGATATTTTGCTAATTTCAACATACGATCACTTGTACTTCCTGGTTTGCGAGGAATATTCTTATTTTCGAGATCAGGCATAAGTTTTTTAATAGTTCGCGCTAAATTCGTAGCATATTGTTTAAATTGTGGATGGGTCATACCTATTCCTTTATCTCGTAAAGCCTCTGCTACTGCCCAGAGTAATTTCTAAACATATGTATTTATATTATGTTATACTAAAGATAATTATTTAAAAATATTTTAAAGTGCTTAAACAAAAATACCTTTCTATGAGTTTCACTAAGTTCGCATCTTCCTTCATGCAAAGATGATTTATTTCTTTCAATTATACTACTAGATGAATGTCTATCCCATGAAGACACTGTATTATTATGCAATTCATGAGAGCAGTCAAAAGATAAACTTTTTGCCCATTTGCATCGTGGTCCTTCTAATTCTTCTTCATTTTTCCTTTTTCTTGATTCCTCAGTATTTTGACTTTTATCAGAATCACTTTCTTTTATATTTTGTGTAAATAATGCGCGTTTAATTCTTATAGAATTTGAATCATTTGCGAGTAACTTGCTCGGACCAGGTAGATCAGAAGGAGGAGGACTTTGGAAAAGTGCGCGTTTAGATGTTTCAATTTTAGATTTTAATGGATTAGATCCATCTAAAATAAGTCGTCGAGCCACTTTTTTCTTTGTTGAACTTCTAGGAGTTCCTCTTGGACTTTTGCCCCGGGGACTTTTACCTCGTGGACTTTTGCCTTTTTTAATTGTAGGTTTTCTATACATAAAAAAAAATAATAAATTTATATTTAATAAATTTTTAAATTAATAAAATCTTTTCAAAATATGTTTCATAACTTTGATACGTACTTAATATTTAATACTAAAAGTTTTTTATTATTAAGAGCTAATCCTTGTAAATTCGCACTAGAGAATACTTTTCGTCTCTTTGTTAAATGACTTAATCTTTTTCCTGGACTTTGACCATTATTTCGATTAGCTAAAAGATTTCGTTTTTTAGCACTTCCTGGTGCTGGTTTAGAAAACCATACAGTACACGTAGATTGAGTTTCAGCTCCTATATACCTACTACATAATTTTGATGTAAGGCTTTCAAATTCTTCAACTGCTTTATTTCTGTTATAACTAAAATCATAAAAGTATTATTATGTATCTTTATATAGATATTATAAATCATAATATACAGATATACATTAATGTACTCACTGTATTCCATGAAATTTATGATAATATGCTTCAGGCCATGTCAAAGTATTAACATTTTTTTCATTAATAGTATAATAAAGTAATGATTGTTGTGGTGCAATTACAACTGATTCTTGTTTTACCTTGTTTGTAGTTGCTTGTACTTGCTCATTATTAGGAACTGCTTTCTTTATTCTAAAATTATCACTGCAAATATTTTTTAAATCTACTGTATCTATATTATTACTAATATTACTTTGATATTGTGGATCACAAGCATCAAAAGCAGTACTTAAATTTCTAGATGTGCTTTTGATATGTCGATAATTATTTGTACTAATATTTTCTTTTTGTTGTTCTGGGAATTCTTTATTTAGATCTTGCTGTACGTATTTTTCTGGTAATGCACATGGTGTCCAAAATAAATGTTGATTCTCATAAATACGTAATAATAATTCTGAGCAATCTATTCTACAAATTGTAAGTTTAGGTGGTGGTGGTACACCACTCAGCAGTTTATTGATTTTTGCTAATATATCATTATCAGATTTTGCAATCAAGTCAGCTTGAGAAGGTTTTTCAAGTTTTTCATTAACTATTATTGGTATTTCATTTATAAATTCTTCATTATCCTTTTTGTCATCTTCATCTCCACTATCGAACATCTCTGGACTAGAGATGTTTGGAAGCTCTTTTTGAATTGTGGGACTTCCATCTTTGCTAGAATAACAGCAATCCATGGCATTGTCTATTAAAGAAAAAAAGGAAAAACATGCAAACATAAAAAATAATTAAAATTTTTTTAAAAATTTAGTAAAAAATAAAAATTTTGGATTAAAATAACTTTTAATAAAAATATTGCTATTAAATTTAAGTAACTCATTATATTTCTATATTTTTATTTAAATGCATAAATTTTTTTGTTTAAATAATAAGAAATGTTTTATTAAAAAGGATTACATTTCGTATGCTTATAGTACAAGATGTTCGTTATAAACACGTTATTTAACCTTACAGAAAATTAAATATTGATAGATAAAATTACAATAAATATGTTTCATAATCGTTCAGATTATTTATATCTTATAGGGATATAATTTATCATTTAGATAAAAATCTACTTTAATAATCATTAATCTATTATATTACTACCGTGAAATTGTTTATTGCTTCTTGAATTTTAAATTAAAGTAACTATAAAAACTGAATACAGAGAAATTTGAATGTATTTACGTCTTGTATAAATCCTTGTCGAAATGTTTCACATTCAATTTTACTGGCTAACAGCCAGATGTATCTGTTATGATTTCCCGATACCAGAAACACAGTTTGATATGCATAACAGTACTGTATACGTCATAATCTGACGACAGCATGTGTTATTCTTAAGGCTGCTTTTTCTCTCACATACTTTCATTAAACCTCACTATGTAGGATAGCTTCAGGTACTTATTCGTTATTGCGTATCTTGAAAGATATTATTATCTTAAGTTTTTATCTGATAGGGGAAATATGAATAGTTCCAAACATAACTATAGTGACGTATAAAAATGACATATAATTGCATTTTGTAGATTGGCAATTGCAACGAAGCTTAGAAAACAATGATAATTACGCATATTTAACAATAAAATATTTAATGCTAAACATTAAATTTTTTTATTTATAAACATTAAATTAACATATTATATATATGATATGTAAAGATATGATAAAGTGATATCAATATTTTTATAAAATCTTTGCTACAAATTTAACAGAAGATACATGACAGGTATTTATCGCATATGTAAATTCTATTTAGAGCTTCTTATTTGATTTATCTTAATAATGTTCATTCAATTTAAGATTAAAATTTGATACACAATTTGAACACAATAATTTTATTTTTTTAATGATTTTATTTTGATAATATTATTAAAAAGTTAAGAAAACATTTATTTAAAAATTATATATATATAATTATATTATATGTATTTAAATTTTAAATATATTTATTATATATATATATATATATATATTATTTTATATTATTGCTTTATTATTAAATTTATATTATCATTTTATAATTCTAATATTTTCTTTTTAGATTTAATTATTATGACAATTATAAAAATTAAAAACCAAATATGAAATTATATATGAAATAAATTTTTCAAACCTGTACTTAAAAAAAATATTTTATAATTTGGATATCAAGGTTACAGGTTAAAGCATATTCTATCAATATACATATTGATTCATACATCAATCCTTATAATTAATTCATTGTACTTTTATGAACTTTCAATGGCATTGTATAACTTATCGGTTTATATATATGAAACATATGTACCATGTTATTGATTTTATTAAATCCAAAAATTTTTAATAAAATATAATTATCTAAAACTTAAAAATGGCAAAGGAATTAAGAACTTTTGGCTTGCTTTTATATAAAAATTTAATAGTTAGAAAAAAGCATTGGAAAACGACAATATTTTTACAATGTTTGATACCTATTAGCTTATTTATATTGATACAAGCTATAAGAGATTTCAGCGTGCAACCACCTCTTATATTTAATGAAAGTACATATTATCCTATACAAACCAAAAAAAAATTAACATTATTAAATAGAGAATTTACACAATTATATTATGTACCACAGAATTCATACACAGAAAATATTTTAGAAGATGTTCGTATGTGTTTAAAACTATCACATGAAAATGTAGCTGGTTTTTTAACTGAGAATGATATGATTAATGCTTATACAATGTTGCAAGCCAAATCTCCTACTACAGATGTTTTAGCTCTTGTTTTTGAACAATATAATACAACTGACATAAGATATAAAATCAGACATTCTTTAAAAATTCCAAATATATTATTTCAAAATATGTTTGATCAACCTCATTATAATGTACATACCATATATTTCAATACCATTCCATTTGTGCAATTACAAATATGTGTTGATGAAACTTTTATACATCACATAGCATCGCATCCTATGATGGATATAAAGGTATTATATATGAATATAGTTGTTATTATTAAATAACAAAATCAATATCTTTTTTGTATTATTTATTACATTCATTTTAGCTGTCAATACAAAGAATGCCTTACCCTCCACATGTTAAAATAGATGAATCTGATACAATATTAAGATTAGTGATATGTATGTTTGCAGTTATTGCTTTTTTAATACCACTTTGTATAGAAACAAATTATGCAACAAAAGAAAAATATATTGGTGTAAATGTTTTAATGGCAATGAATGGAGTAAAACAATATCAGAATCTATTAAGTTGGTTGATTGTTGGCATTATATTTAGTATTTTTTATATAGTACCAATAATAATATTATTTAAAAACACTTTTTCTGGAAATGTTGATCCATATTTGTACTATAGCAATACTTTTATATTTTGGATAATACTCACAGCACATATTGCTCATTTAATATCATTTGGTATGCATATTGCTGCATATTTTTCAAAACGTAAGTAAGTTTTTAAAAAAATCAAAATTAAAATATCTATAATAACATAATAAATATATATGATATATATATGATATAAATTAAAAAATGAAAATATATAATATTTTTTTTTAGCACGTTTTGTGATAATAACACTATCAATTATTTATTCTGCCTCTTTTTCGCTTCATGCACATTTGATACGAGAAGAAATCTTTTCAATAATACCATATTTAGGAATATTATTTCCAAATATATTGCTATATAAATTTTTTGAAGAAGTAAATGCATATGAAGCTCACTGTATGTACATTTTTTTTAATATTGTATTATAATTTTGAAACTTTTAAAATATTAATTATAATATAAAATTTATAGTAACTGGTATTCAATGGTCAAATATGTTTATTGTTGGAAATGCACAATATAATATTACTGGATGTATTGGATTTATATTTATTTTTTCAATTTTTGGTACTTTATTACATTTTTCACTATCTGTATATATTAATGCTATACTCCCAGGAAAATATGGTATTCGTAAAGATCCATTTTATTTTTTAAAGGTAAATTTTTTTGTTATATCGAAATATCTAAATATGACTTCAAAATATATCATTGTGTTTTTATTTACAATAAAAAATATTTTTTATAGTATTTAAAAAAGAATAAAATAAATCTTGATGAAAACATAGAGGATTTTGATTATAATAATATAGATAATGAAAATTTTGAGCCAATTGCAAAAGGAATACTTATTCCTGGAATACAAATCCGTAATCTTAAAAAAACATATAAAAATACTTGTTTCCAAAAATCAGTAAGTTTTTTTAGCTTAATTAATTAATAAATTAAATTTAATAAATAAATTATTATTATTATCATATAATCATAGTGATTATAATAATAATATTTATTCTGTAATAATTTAATCTATGTAATAGACAGTTCAAGCTTTAAAGGGAATTTCAATGGATTTATATAAAGGACAAATAACAGCTTTATTGGGACATAATGGAGCTGGGAAAACTACACTTATGTCTATCTTGACAGGTAGAAGTTTTTTTCCTTTATAATAAATATATGCATTCAAATTTTTTAAATGAAATATTTTCTATGTAGGCGTAATAAGTCCAACTGAAGGAAAAGTTATTATAAATGGTAAAAATATAGCAAAACATTTACAATGTATTAGAAACAATTTAGGTTTATGCCCTCAAGAAAATATAGTTTTTCCTGATTTAAGTGTATTTGAACAATTAAAATTTTTTGGTTTAGTAAGTATCCATTTGAAGTAAAATAACGTTACATTATTAATTAAAAAAATTAGAAGATATATGAATATGAATATGAAGAGATATATATGTTTTAGCTAAAAGGTACAAATAAAACACAAAAAGAAATCCAACAAAATGTTAATATCCTATTGGATAAATTAAAATTGCGTGAAAAAAGAAATGTTCTTCCAAACAAGTTATCTGGAGGACAAAAGAGAAGATTATGTCTTGGAATGGCACTTATTGGTGATGCTAATATTATAATTTTAGACGAACCAACTTCTGGAATGGATCCTGAAACTAGAAGAGATATATGGGATATTATTTTAAAAATAAGAGGAAAGAAAACAATTTTAATTAGTACACATAATATGGAAGAAGCTGATATACTTGGAGATCGAATTGCTATTGTACACGGAGGACGATTAAAATGTTATGGCACATCAATGTTTTTGAAAAAACAATATGGTTATGGTCATATCGAAGTTACTTTATCAACAAAATCATGGTGTAATGCAGAAAAAATTATAAATAAATTTGATCCAAGGACGCAACAAATAAATGTTGATAGTGAGAAGATTGTTTTAAGTGTACCAAATACTGAAACTTTACCACAATCTTTAGATAATGTTGAAAATCAAAAAAAAAATCTGGGAGTTACTGGAATTAGTGTATCATTAATTACTTTAGAAGAAGTATTCTTAAAAGTAATTAAAAACGAAGATAATGGAAAGCATTTGAATGAATTATATTGTCCTCCATCACAAAAAATAGAAGGATGGAGTTTATGCATACAGACAATTTTAGCGCTATATCATAAGAAATTGATATACACTAAGAAAAATTTAACTAATATAATATTAACATATCTTTTACCACTTTTTTCGGTTGTGTTAATAGGCTTAAGTTATGATATGCCTAGTGATTCAACGAATATATTTCCATTAGAACTTAATATGTATAAACATCCAAAAGCTCTATATTCTTTTAAAAACGAAAGTATTGGAACAGAAAATTCAATTCAAATAAAATATTTTGGTGGAATTACAGAAAACATAGAACAAAATACAAGCGTTACACAAGCTTTATTGGATCGCGCTATCCAAAATATAGCAGAATATCGTAATAATTATATTGTTTCTGCAGAATTTAATATTTCTGATGGAATTTTATATGCTAATGGTTTTTATTCTGGGATTGCAATTCACAGTGTGCCATTAACTATAAATTTATTATCAAATGCATTAATTAAAAGTATAGCTGGTGATGAATATTCTATTCATGTTTCAAGCCAAAAATTACCAAATGCATTATCTGCTACAATATTATACATGCCAGAAAATGAATCTTTGACAAGAGTATTGATCTTTTGCTGTTTTTTCTTTCCTACTGTAGCACTCTTTGTAGTCCATCCTTTTCAAGAAACAGAGACTAAAATGAAACAACTCCAAAGAATGACAGGAGTTACCTCTTTTTCATATTGGTTTACTATGTTTACTTTTGATTTATTAGTTCTTACAGATATCATAATTGTTATTGTACTAGGATTTTATGCTATGGATATCATCTTGGATATACGCTTATATTACATGATAGAAATATGTAATAATATAATATTAATAATTATTAAATATGTTAAAAATAGATTTTTATATTTTTATTTATTTATTTATTTTTTTTTTCAGTTACGATGATATTACTGCTATTTCTTTTTGGTATAAATTCTTTAATCATATCATATATCTTCAGTTTCATTAATAAATCAAGAAACACAATAATAACTGTTTTAAGTCTTGTACCTGTTGGATTTGGTAAGTTGCATTATATTACATATCATAAAAATATGAAAAAAATGAAATAAGTAAACTAATATTTTTCTATTATATTTTAGTTTTATTTCAATATCTTTTACACGAAGTGATTCATAATTTTGATAATCTCAAAATTTTATATTCGATTCAGAAAAATCTATTTCGTTTGATACCTCATGTGAGCCTATTTCATGGTCAATTGTCTTTTTTCAATATAGCTATACAAAATGCGAGATGTCGTCGATTACCAAATCGATTGCAAGATGTAGTTTGTTTAGCTCTTTCGGATATATGTTGCGGTACGAATTATTAATATATGTTTTAATAATTTTTCTATGTTCTAAATATTAAACATAAATAAGACATTAAAACATAAATCTTCTTTAGGTTTGGATTGTGTGGATGGAGTATGCAAGAATCAACTTTCTTATTTTTCTAATTATGATAATGACATGAGTTTGAAAGAATGCATTATTTATTTATCCTTCACACCATTAATATATTTCACAATACTCATTATTTTAGAGGAACGTTTACCGCATAAATTTTATGCTAAAATATTGAATCAAAATTTAAAAAATCCATGTGATATAAAAGATGATCAAGTAAAAAAGGAGAAACATGCAGTAGCGGTAGAAATTAGAAAATTATTAAATCGTGGTATAGTTTTTCATAAATATTTATTTTAACTATATTGAATTGGAATAAAGAATTAGAGTGAAAATTTATTCGTTATTATTTATATTTATATTTAGGTGAAGCAAAAGAAATTAATAAGAAGAAAATTAAAACAGTTTCCACTACTGAAAATAATTTGTTAGAAAGTCCAGAAAATAACAAAGATAGTCTGTTTTTAGTTTATGAATTGAGCAAATATTATGGGAAATTAATGGCAGTGCAGGAAATTAGTTTTAGAGTAAAACAACGAGAATGTTTTGGATTACTTGGAGTTAATGGCGCTGGAAAAAGTACCACGTTTAGAATGTTAACTGGTGAAGAAATACCAAATAGTGGTATCATGTACTTAGGAAAGTCAGAAATTAATATTAATCGAAAAGATGTAATATATTATTATTCTTTTTTTTTTTTTCTATATTTTTTTCTGTACATTATTTTTATTATATTTTTAATGAATTTTTCATTTAGTATCTAGCTCAAATGGGATATTGTCCACAAACTGATGCATTGCTCAATTCCTTGAATGCATTTGATCATTTAAGATTATTTGCTTTACTTCGCGGTATTCCTAAATCAAAAGTAGATTTAGAAGTTAACAAATGGATTAATAGACTCGGTAAATTTATTTTTTAAAAATTAAAAAATTTATTTTAAACAATTGTAATATAAATTTTTATGGACGTTGTTTGTTGTATTAGATTTAAATGCTTGCATGCATCAACCAAGCAATACATACAGCGGTGGTAATAAACGACGTTTGAACATTGCAATGGCACTTATTGGAAATCCAACTCTCGTTCTATTGGATGAACCAACGACGGGAGTTGATCCTGCGGCTAGAAGATTGCTTTGGAATATACTTAAGTCTTGTCAAAAAATGGGACAAGCTATTATACTTACTTCTCATAGGTATTTTATTTGATTCGATAATATATATTGTTACAATTGAAAATTGTTATAATTCTATTTAATAAAAAAAAAAAAAAAATTCATAATAGCATGGAAGAATGCGAAGCTTTATGCAATAGATTAGTCATTATGGTGAAAGGTCAATTAGTTTGCATCGGTGCAAGTCAGGAATTGAAACAACGATTCGGTGCTGGTTACGATATTCACATTAAATTAAATCCAAGTCGAACGGATGATGATGTCATCAATATAAAAAAGATTATAGAATCATCTCTACTTTGTGAAATTAGAGATGAGAATTTGGTAAACTATATTTATGTGAAACATTTAAGTACATCTTTATATAGTATTTACTAATATAATTTTATTTTTTAATTTGCAGGGACTTATAGCATATCACGTGAATGATATTGGAACGACATGGGAAAAGATGTATAATACAATGAATGATTTAAAAAGACAATACAGTTGTATCCAAGATTATGCTGTTTTATCTGCTACTTTAGAACAACTTTTTATTCAGTTTGCTAGAGGAACTGAATTAACAAAATCTAAAACGTCTACGGTGGATTCCACTACACAAACAACAAATGTGTAAATAGTAGGCAATATTTTAACATAAAAAAATGAATTTCTTTATTAAATTATTTTTTTTGTAAATATAATTAAGGTATTTCTTTCTGATATACGTATAATGTTATAGCAATTTTTAATTTATGTATGTTTAAGTTATTTATTTGAATATATATGTTTAAATTAAAAAAAAATATTTTATTATTTAGAATTTGTATTAAAAATTAATTTATGTAACTATGTATAAAAATAAAAATTAAAAATGCATATGACTAAAATTCAATAGTAACATTGTTAAAAAGAAAACAAAAAAATTTTAAATAATAGGGGAAAAAAAACAAATCATAAATAAAGTTCTCATATTTTATATAAATAAGAAAGTTACATAAACGATATATTCTTATGTACATATGTCCGCCTTTAAATGATATTACTGTAATGGAATAAGATTGATTCTATAATATGTAATGACTTATGCGGTGTCGGCTAGTAATGGTATCCGCCTGAACTTGTTTGGTACGAGTTTGGACCCTGATAAGATCCACTACTGCCACCTCCTCCTCGACCACCACCACTACCACCTCCGCCGCCTCCGCCGCCTCCGCCGCCTCCTGCTAGGTTAATGAAATTATTTAAATAATTTGATATTAATTTATTAAAAATAAACAAAAAAAAATGTATTGATTAAACTATTTTAATTAACAAAAAATATTTTTTTCCAATATTTTCTAGTTCAAACAATCCTATAATCTACACAAATATTTTGCAAAAATATCATCTATGAAACTCACTATAACGATCTAAAGAATATCCACCTCCGCCACCATTACCACCACCACCACCGGAAGTATCTTGATTTTCGCCTCTGGCTTCTGCTGCAAGGGCTAATTCAACACCTCGTTGAATTTCTGGTGGAATCGGAGGTGGAGTCGGTAAGTGCGCACCTTGGGGATGAAAACCTTCTTCGTCCGCGGTATAGGTGATGCTATACTGTACACCATCAGGTCCAGTATACGAGTATGATCCACTTACTGCTTCCGCGTTACCTAGAGAAGTGAGATACATGAATACTTGATGCAATGGATCTTTGGCTAGATTGTGCATATATCAAGTATTTTTGCGACTTTCTAACTTGTTAGTAACGTTTGGTCATTGTTTGGTAATCATTCATCATTGACAGAAATTGGGATATGTGATTACTTGGTTAAGTTGTAACTATTTGCTATGATCCCTAATCTTCTTCAAGTTTTACAATATATGTCAAATTTTTTAACATTTCTTTTACACAGATACAGAAATCTCTTTTTTAAAAGTAAAATATCAAAAAAGAATGGAAAGGAAAGTACTGAGTGGAAATTACATTTGAGAAGTTGTAGTGCTATTGCATTCATCAGTGCGATTCCATTGTAAACGAAAAATGATTTGAGGTCGTGCACAATGATGGATAGGAATATTCATAATGGCAAGAAATGGTAGCGACGAACCGCGAAGAAAAGGAACGTAAGGAATACCGTCATTGGGAAACGAAAGTGGCCCTGATCTCACCTTGCAGGTGACCTGTTTCTTGCGCACTGATACCATTTCCTGTTTCGTAGCTGAATTGGTAGTTGCCATCACCACTATTCTGATTGTTAAACGAGACGATAGATATCTCTTGACCTCCTCCAGGTCCTCCTCTTGGTCCACCGCCGCCGCCGCCGCCGCCACCAGCTGAAGTATAAATTCAAGCAAAATTTTCAAAATGTTAGGTAAAGTGATTTAACTCGGATAAAGTTTCGTTATAAAAATAGCTGAGTTACCACAGACTTTGATTGACTCTAGTACCCTTTCTCTACAACTGACTTTTAAGCACTCCTGAGAAAGTTGATGATCGACTAGTCGCGGGGAAATCAAAAAAACTAGCATTCAAGCTAGCCAGAATTTCAAGTGATTCGAATAGAACGTACATCTCCCATTTTGTCGCATATAATCGACTTTTTATCGATCAACATATCTGTGCCTTACACGAGATTACGACACACGAGGTGAAATCCGCGAACATACTCGAGATTAATCCATAAGTGAATAGAACCTAATTACTCGGTCGGTCGCGACGAGGTTGTACAAAAGACATAGAGACGAAACGCTTTGATGTTATTTTCGCAATCCATCGAGAATTCTCACCATCGTCGAATCGTACGTAGATTCGAGAGTCTCGTTACTGGAATCGTGCCGGGTATCTTCATTAGAGAAGCGCCTCAAGGGATAAAGTGATTAAGTGTTTCGCGTTGAACCGCGATTTTCACTTTTCTTTCGTCTCCATGACACGAAATGAGCTCTGGTTTCACAGCATATTTTACATATTTTTATGCAATTCGACCGACGAAATGTGTTTCATCATTTTCTTTCTTTCTTCGCTTTTGCTATGTATGATGTGATACAACAGAATTTTATAATCATTCAAATAATTTTCTCTTTGCGCGTATTGTTGAAACAATGTATGATAAATATCTCAATAATTCCCTTCGTAAATTAAATAATTTGTTATATCGAATTTTTTTGCACATGCATCAAGATTTCCTGCGCAAGTTTTATTAATGTGTAAAATGTTCATATTAATGATAAGTAATATTTTTAGTCGGGAACTAACGGGAGAAAAAAGAATTAGTAAATGGTATCAAGGTGCTGAATTAATATTCTGTTTAAGTACACATTTTTTCTTAATTGCATAACAAATATGCAAGTACAAAAAATTATATTCCTACGTAAATTAGGATGTCATCAAGAATAAATCAAAGAAGAAAATAAGAAAGTTTGAAAACTTAAAAATTTTTACTTAATAACTTGTTATAAAATTGAAATTTGATTAAAAAACGATAAAAAAATATTGATTTAATAACAGTAATTGCAATTTCATTTCATCAAAAAATATGAAATTATTATTGCCTTTCACTTAAAAGAATCTGCTATTAAGAGAGATAATAAAAAGAGATAAACGATAATCAAACTCAAAAAGTCTTCTGATGATAGTTTTCATGATATTTTCAATAAATCTTAATATCATTATATAAGAAGACATTAAATTCTAACATGGAATAATGACCGTATTATTATACTATTATAAGTTGCAATTTTAGTTGTTATGTTCGTGTTATAGTAATTTGTTGTAAGGAAAAATTAATAATTTTGTCTTCTCTATTGAAAATCATATTTAAAAAAAATATTTAACGAAGAAAATTGTAATAATTAAAATTTTAAAAAAATATAATATTTTTGAAAAATAATTCAAACGATTTCCGAATTTATTATTTCGATTATATCGAACGATCGATTTTTCCGATAGAATCGATTTCATTTGATCATCGATATCATTTGATCATTCGATAATAAATCGAATATTCTATTGAAATCGAGGTAAAATATGCAACAAGTAAATATTTTATGAATGCATTATATTTATAGTTTTTACATTTTAAATTGAAAACTAATTGAAAAACAATACTTACGACCTCCACCATAGGTACCTCCGCCTCCGCCACCACTGCTATATGCTGCAAGTCCTCCACCACCGCTGCCAAATACTCCAGGTCCACCTGATCCACCTGGTCCACCAGGTCTACCAGGTCCTGGAGCACCAGGACGATTGGGAGCTTGTATTAATCCTGCACCTCCTGCACTGCCTGCATTGCCCGGGGGAAGGTAAGTGTTGTCTAATCGGGCTGCGTAACACGTACCAACAACAGCCAATAACGCGATAGCGAGCTGTTAAAACAATTGTCAATACTTTGACTACTGAAGTCACAAGGCAATGAGTCAATTTTTTGGAAAACTTAAAATGTTTTTAGATTATTGCAAAATTAAAATAGAATGTAATTTTTATCGTAATATCACTAAAAAATTCTCGTGAACACACTATGTCATATTTCACAGATTCTATTCAATATTAAAAAAAAGTATAAAAATGAATTATTATTACTAATTTTTTTTAATATTATAATAATCTATGCTAAAAAATATAAATATAATAAAACGTTGATTCGCATTTGATATCACTAACATGCGATTCTTCGAGAAATCGATATCAAAGACCGAAAGCAGTGATGAGATTCGTAAAGACACGCCATCTATCGCGGGAAGAAAACAATTGTACTGTTACTCGTACCGATTTCATCTCGTTGACGAAATGCTCGATCTGTGTGAAAAACGAACTTCCCCGTTGATACTAGTCGCACAGTGGAACGTTCTATCGCCAAACGATGGCAATAATTGGTCTGTGCAGATTCAGGTCGGAGCAACCGTGCTTATATACCGATTCGTGGCCTCAGGATCGTCTTCCTCCCACCCAGGAGGAAGACTCTCAGAAACAGCATCGAGTCTGGTGAACACCCGGTGCAGCGTCCCTCAGCGAAGTTCGCGAACTCGGTTAACAAATGAGTGACAGAGAAAGAGTTTTAAGAGAAAGAAAAAGTAAAAGAAAATCGAGGGAGAAGGCTGAAGACGAGCTCTCGGTGAGAGATGTGGGATGAGAGGTTATTGCGCAAGCTAAGTGATATAGATCGGCGGGCATCTCTCGTTGGACCTGAAGGTCGGCTAATCGGGTCGACATGAAAGTGAACCGAGATTGTTATGTATAAAAAGTATAGACAGGCGAAGGTATGATAGTTATGTCTGTTAGAAAAAGAGAGGTTACCATGAGGTGCCATATTTCGTTCGGTAAAGGACAATCGTAAAAAAAAAAAAAGATAGAGAATAGCGTCTAATGGAGATGACCGCGGCAATCTTTCTGATATTGAAGATTGCGATTCAACTACGATTTAAATTGCGTGTGTCTTTATAATTATATCGGTTATTTCGTGTTCGATATCGCAACAGTAAACACGGGGTCATGCGACATCGTCATCAACATCCACGATAGATGGTATGGCTTATAGAGAGCAACGCACGCTCTGCAACCGCGCGCGATTATTGCGCAACCTGGTGCGTTGCGCATCAACCGATGGTACGTAATTTCACGTAGGTGTGCGAGCGTGTACATATACAAGAGACCGCTCCAAATCGTTTCTAGTGTTACTGATCAGCACGTAACTTTCCGCTTAACGATTCCTCGGGTCACCGTACTCACGCTCTAAGGCAGACGCCTCGACGTGATCACTTCCCAATAACCATCTTTTACCTCTCTCGTCTAAGTTGCTTCGATTTTGCCTTGGAACGGATCGTCGCGAACGTAGTTCCTTATTCAG